TTTGAGTAGTAGAATTTTCATATGCATTACGCTAAACATTTGCAGTACCAGTGTTTATATCTTTGGTTCGCACTTGTGTCTGAACCGCTAAGGATTTCAATCGCCTGGTTTACGATTTGTTGAGTCAGAGTGGCTTTTGTGCGACAATTAAGTGACATATTGTTCAAGTAATTCTCCACCAATTCATCAAATCTGGCGCGAGAGATGAAGTTAATGATTATTAGACATGTTTGTTTCCTGACAAAGCTAAGTGAAAGACACCGAATTGCAATGTTGATATTCCTCAATTTATAAATTTATGTCATTTTTTGACATGGCATTGGTCTTCATTCTATTTCTTTTTGAAAAATCACTCAACTTGTCCTACGATTCTTTTTTGTTAACGGGCTTTGATCATACGATTCATTATATTCTACTGGTCTGTTTGGATCATCTGATTTGCCTCACCAGCTTACAGTTATGATCTTCAGTTTGTAAGATCGTATGTTTTAGGGGCTTTTAACCAAAAGGACTGTAAGTCAGACAACCACAAAGAAATAGAACGATAATTGGTTTCGAAAATTGTATGCTAGTCAAAACAATTAAGATCTTCAACAAAAAAGGATCGTAAGGGAATCCAGCAACCACAAAGAACAGAACGATTGAATAATTGAATGTCGAAATCGTATGATGGTCAAAATAATTAGGCTTTAACAAAAAAGGATTGTAAGGTAATTCAGGCTACAAAGAATAGAAAGTGGTAGAGGTGTTAGAGGGAGGTCAATACAAGCTTGGCTGTAGTTCAGGAATATTAGACATTCACTACTATGCAGCTAACTTGGAAGCTGTTGTACCTGTTAACTATTCCGGAGACTGTTGTATCTTTGACCGAGGCACTTAGATTGCAAAATGCAGTTGGTAATAAGTGTAAATGCGAGACTGATTGTTCAGCACTGTCATTTTACAAATACTGACTGTGTTAACGACTAACTGCCAGTTATAAAAAGCGTCAACTAATTAGAGACATTAATTTTTCTTTTTATTGTTATTATGTTATTCATATTTGCTGCTCATAAATAAATTCACTTGTTCGGGTGTTAAACATTGTTATTGTTGCGCATTATGAAGTGATATAATCGAGTATGTTGATCATCACATACAACAATTCTGAAGTGGGTTGACCCATATCAGAATTCGGAAATGGGTTGACCCGATTCGGAAGTGGGTCAAATTCAGAAACGGGTCAGAACATACATATCATATTGTAGTAGAGACAATAGTACGATTATTGTCAATTACTATACTCTATTAACAATCTTATTATTATCTATGTCATGTATAACTTATCAAACAATAATGCCAAATCTGTCAGGGGAGGTAAGCACCCTGTATAACAATAAAAGGATTTATTGACAGTCATGTGATCAATAACATTGGAGTTACCGAAAACTCTATTAAAATCTTAGCGTTAGTTACAGTTGAGTGATTCTTGTTAAAATTATACACAGTCACTCTCGATATAATGACCCCCCCCCCCCCGATAAGATGAAGTGACCTAATATGATGCTTTCCCCCGGAACCAAGTCAGTTATAATAAAATTGGGCTCGATATAATGTAATCTCGCGATATAACTTATAATGAGTGCGTAAATCATATCAATTTATCGAGCAGAATAAGAACATTATATTAAATTAAACCAATCAATCGAAATTTCGATGTTTTTATGATAAATACTTATTCTCTTTAATTTGTTAGAGGCAGATGGATAATAGAAGTATGATTAGTAAAAAACTTGTAATAAAGCGGGTTACTCTAACGGGCGTTCAAAAAAAAGTCTGTTTAAAAAAGAAAGCCCAACCTCATTTGACTCAAGCGGAGCTTGCTAAGCTGTATGGAGTTAAAGAAAATACCGGAAATGCTTACAAAAAAAAAGAAGAACACAAAAAAGCAATTGAAAGTATGGCTTTTGCTTCACTAAATGCTTATGTCAGAAAAAAATAGCGATTGCTTAAATAAAATTCGCGTCTCTACCATTCTTAAAAAGTCATCGTATTGGTTGAAAGTTTAACTTCAGCGAAGAGAAAACGCGATCGAACTGCCGCATATCCTGTAATTGAAAGTCATATCTGGCCATATTTTGCGAAGAAAAGCCATAGCTTTTGCAACTCTGGCAAATACACTTATCTAAGATAGAATAGTTATCAGAATAAAGAAATTTTCGCTCGATACAGTATAATGATTTTTCACGTGACCCAATCTTTCGTTGTAATGATCTTTCGATAATATGAACATTTTGGTCCAGCCCGGCGACTTCATCTTACCGAGAGTGACTGTGTATATTTACTGTATCATTAAATGTTTGGCAATACGTATCTGAAGTGAATTTTGTTTCGCATGTTCACAAATTTCGCGTTTATTATCAATGCTCAACTGAACTCCTTTTCTCGATTATACAAAGCAATTAGGAGATGGCGTTTAATACACAATAAACCATATAACGGCTATAACCAGTAGAATAAGTAACGAAAACGCAATTGCAGGTGACCTAAACAGCTTCCGACAATAGGAATTGCTTCTATTTGCGGAGCAACCCAAAATCTGGGAGTTGAGCTTTGTCTGTTACGTCGTATATATTTTGTGTTGAGTTATTTATAGAAATCCACACCTCACTATCAATATTATCGTAGAAATTTACGTGTATTGGAGAACGCAAAAAATCACCACCAAGAAATGTACTCAATTGCTTACACTATTTGCCAACAGAATCGAGTTATAAATCGGTCTATCGTGCAGGTCTTGAAAACCATAGCACACTGAAACTGTTAAAATATAACACATTCTGCAAGTTATGATACCAACAACGCCTTACATTCAAATTATGGATACGTGTCAACTGTTTCGGAATGGCTTACAGTATAATGCTCGTAAAGAAGAAGCAAAAAATTACTGAAAAAATACAAAGAAATCTAGTTAAGGCTAGATTGGAAAGAAATTATTCAACAAAAATACGAAATTAACAGAAGAACAAAGAAAATTAGTAGATGAGAATGATCTTGTGACAGAGGTAAAGTGATTATTGTAGCGTTGATGCTACTGCTCATTATAGTTACGATTGAGTATAAAATGTTCAGTAAGATTTATCTTAGTCCGCATAAAGTACATTTATTTGATATTCAAGATAGAGCGGTGCGCGAACAAATTAATTACGTTCTTGATGAAGACGAAATTATAGGGAAGGCATCAATGGCACACTGAGCATGATGTTAGATGGAATTAAGAAATTGAATAAAGGTGAAATTACTTGTGATAATGCGGGAGGACAGAATAAAAATAATGCCACTATTTGATTTTAGAAATTTGCGGTTATTATGAAAGACTTGAATCAAATTTTATGGTACTAAATTTAAGTCTGATGGCAGCCTGGATTGGTCAAGAAACTGTACCGCAAAACGACTGTAGATTGTATGGATCATATTGTTGAAGTTGTGAAAAAATCGAGTACAGCTGGATTAAACAAGGCTCAGTGTTATGACAATGGAAAAGGCTTTCAATACTTAGATCTTAATTCCGTGTTGGAAATTTTCTTTAAGAAGTTGAGTGGTTTGCAAAAATATCTGTATTTTCTTTTTAATCCTGGAATTGTCAAAGCTCAGATGATTGTTAATAGTGATTTATTGAAAACCCGAAAAGCGTGTCTCTGAAATAACCATAGAAATTAAAACATTTTCCACCCTAGTATTAACCCTCCTCCTTTGATTACAAAAGACAAGAGTATCTTTACCAAAACATTCGCCTATTCGTTAGAGACGAATTTAAAGACATTACAAAAATGGACGTTCCTCTTCACATTTTAGAACAAGGCTGTGGCCGCAGTTGCTCTGCCAAGGTACTGATAGAAAAGTTTGCTGGATTGCGAGAAGTCTTTCAAGCTAGCCGTTTCTTAAAAAAAAAAAACGGCAGGTCTATAAGAAAACTTTTTATTGCTGAAATCGTAATATCGCCCTTTTTAATCATACTCCTTTGATTAGGAATCATATCAGTTGTCGTTCTGGTACAGTTTGCCTCCTTGTATTTATGTTTTACCTTCTTTCCTAAATATCAATTGGGAAGGTGATGGTTCGAAATGACCAGCCAGCCAGTTGGCCATTATGAAAAACGAACGAATTGCTGAAAAACTTTGGAATCCGAAAAATCCGACAAAAGCCAAGAATAACACTTCTTGCAAAAGGTAACTCACAGAGCCAGTGCAGAAGTAAAAGAATCCACCGGCTTGATTTTTCCATTTGGTTAATCCTACCGTGATGGTAACTAGGTCATATCTGTTCTGAAGAAAACAAATGAAAAACGGTGTGACGCCACATGTTCGCAGTCTGGTTTTGCCCCAACCCATTTATTCTTGCTCTATAGCGATATTAAGTTTATTGGATGATAAATAAACTTGTTTGATAGCATTATACCCAGCCTCTCCAATTAAATTGGACATTATTATAAAGTCTTTGTTCAAATCTCTCTTGTCTATATTTACCATGTTGTATATCCCTTCGTTGACATACCGACTGACGGATAAATAGAACTTGTTGCTTCCAATTAATATGGTAAAATCTTCCGTCATTCTTGCTTAAATTTCCATGTCTTCTAAACCACCTTCACTTTCCTCCCCTTGCTCCTGCTCATCACTATCGCTCCTCATTCTCTTCTTTTGCTTTCTTTTCTTGCTCTTTCCCGAACTATCACCCGCTTTCCACAATTCATGCGGTTCTAATTCTGATACGGGATCATAGGATATAACGGATTTATGCGTCTTTGTACGCGTGACTGATGGTATATATAAGCATATAACGTATCAGAGTTAATGCGAAATAAATTGAAAATGGGCGCAAGCAGCCATAAAGTGAACAACGTTGTGTAAGCATCTTACTTGCGTGTAATAATACAGCTCTGCAGTTTGTTGAAATGCAATCTTTAGCTTGGGCTTGATTCAGTCCCATTATTGTTCCCCTGAGAAGCGTAGGTGTGAGGATTAATACCAAAAGTAGAGTTGGCTTAATGAGTTGTAAAGACATTTGACTAACAAATTGATGATATCATATGGTCCTCGAAGTTCCATTGCTCGTTGTGCATCGCTGGTGATTATGATGTTTCTTCCGCGAGTGATTCTTACTAGATTCTGTGCGTTACTAATGAGCTGTCTTCGACTTCCAGAATCTTTATAAATCCATATGGAATTGGTATAATTCATAGGTTAGATATGTACAAGCCCCTCGAGAAAGGCGCATTCTCCACCCTCCCATTTATTTTGGTTATATATACCTCGAATAGCAGGCGCATACGAAATCTCAAAATAGATGCCTCGATCAATAGCCAATCCTACTGTTGTGTGTTTGAAGTAGAACGGTAATCGGTTTCCCATCTCAAGTGATATAATATCCACATCGAAAGTGCCGCATGCCATCTGGAAGAGTTTCTCGTTAGTCGGTTGAACCGCAACTAGGTCATAAGATGATATCGTGGAATTCGTCGATGTCTGTTCGCATTAGACATCCAGAAAAGAAAGATTTTTGGATGAAAAATCGTTCATCATGATTGATAATCGATACGATAAACCATAAAATGCTCACCAAACCATAATTCTGACCTGGATCGTCGATGACTACAGTTAGGCGTGTATATTGCTTTATTTTCTCATTATTCGGTTTCTGAATGGGATTGGGCTGATGCAAGTGCACAGAAAAGAAATGTAATCTATAGATAAATACTTTCGATTAAACACATCAGCGTCTACTATTAATTGACAAGCATCCCACCTTTTTTGAAGCTACTTTTCCGGTGACTGTGTTATTGTATGCTACGATATGATATCCAACTACGTACGCAAACATAGCAAAATTCAACATTGTTGAGAAATTGTCGTCTTAAAAGTATTAACCTCTCTTACATTTTACTAGTGTATCGATACTCTTGCGTAGCTCATTTTGGGCATATTCGATGTTCTGACTGTGTTGAACTGGATACGGAATATTCAAGTCATAAAACATCTTTCCAAGTGCAATGGACTTGTGACAAGGATAGAGTGGATGTTATTGGAACAGCTACGCGAAAATCAGGAATTTCAGTAACGTGACCTGTTGTATAACGCAAATCGTATTGCGATTTTTACTTGCACGTTTTTATCTCACCCAGAATGAGAATAAAGCCCGTATCGAAAGGGTGTATCTAGACTTGGAGAAAGATATGATGTGACTCAGGGCTAATGGATCATATTAATGTTGTGAAGTTGATTATTTACATATACAGCTTCATTTATTTTGGATATTATTTATTAATCCCTCATAGTATTATTGACTATCTGTTGGAAATGGTGTTGTTTATTGAATTATTCTCTTTTGGATTTTTTTTAATTAACCATATTAATATATTGTGCATTCTGTATTATATATTCTGCTGTTCCCTATGTACGAAGTTTAAATTTTAACTCTTCACCAGCCAACATTCAGTTGATGTGTTTCGTCTTATCCATTTCATCCGGCATCTGTTTAATCTCTTTACTTTGAACTTGCTAATTATAAATTTCTTTACGTCTTAAAATGAGATCATTAAGACGTTCATGTTATTCTATTATTCTACGAACTTGTACTTTCGATAAAGCCATGGTATTGATGATAGAAATAATCCAAAGATTCTATGAGTAACTATCGCGAGGTAACGCACTCAACATAAAGTTGTTGGCAGAAAGTCCGAAATTAAATACGCGTTGAAGATATAACCAAGCGTATAACTGTATAATCGGGTGATCAATATAGTATACTATGTTATACCTGAGTAATTGTCAAGCCTGGGTTAAACAGAGTTTGTTACGAATGCATTTTGATATGAAGATTCTCAGTCAAACATTTGGTCTTTATATATATTGAAAACGTATTCATGGACTAACACTTAATTCTCTAATTCAATAATTTCAGCAAAATTACTGAGACTGTCAACATAATAATCAGGCAGTATAGGTGCGCCTTCTGCCAGTATTTCCTTCTCCGTCGATATACCAGTTAATACAAGAAGAGTAGCTATTCCACCATTAATACCAAACTGAATGTCAGTGTCCAGACGATCACCAATCATACACGTACGCTCAACGTTCAAGCGGTATTTATCTACGATGCAATCCAACATGGGTTTATTTGGCTTACCCATGACTCGATCTGGTTTACGATTTAACGCGATGATTAATGGTGATGATAATGAACCAGCTCCAGGAAACACAGTTCCGATGGCCGGAAATGTTGTGTCATCATTAGTTAAAAGGAATAAACAGTCCGGATCGGTGCGCAGATAGAGGAACGCTTTAGCTATCTTTCTATAATTTATGAAAGTATCGAATCCACAAAGTACAGCACCAATCTATTAAATAAAAGAGCAGCAGAATTGCAAACATTTAGGCAAGTTATCCTATATATATACTTATATCATAACTGCACAAGTCGTACCTCTGGATCTGGAGTGATATCAGCAAAATCCCAATTTTGAATTGGTCCATTATCCGCCTACAGTTGATATCGATAATGTCAGTATCGTAATTAATGAAAACGTAAAAAGAATGTACGAGAAAAATACAAACATCGGCTTTCGTGTTCTTGATTCCCATCATATTAAGTTCATCTTCGATGCCTGACTCGCCGATTATATAAACTTTTTTCTCTTTTGGAAAATCAATTATATGTCTCAGATAATAAGCAGCAGTATAAGAGGAAGAAAAAATCTCTTCCTACGAATCAAAGAAAATAAATCGTTAACATATTGCAAATATTCCTCGCTCATCAGAGTCACAATTCTGTATTCTCTGTCATACTTCACTTGCTTCTAGACCAAAACTCCGAAGCTTCTTCAAATTGCCTGCGCGCGACTTTGTACTATTATTGGTAACGAACAAAAGCTGTTTGCCTGATTTGCGTATAAATTTTCAATTCTATAGGCAACTTATCCGAAAAAGTTAGCAATTGTTCATTATAGTTTACCTTTCTTTCGGAAATACGTTATCACTTGAAGAACGCCGGGAATAACCGTATTAGAAGACCATATGACACCTTTAAAGGCAGTACGAAATCAATAAACGAGCACTGACTGATACTGATAATAACAGTAATTAGATATGACTAACCATCACAATCTAATAGGAATGTGTCATATCTGTCGACGAAACGTTGGTAAGCAGCGCGATTAGTAAGTTTAATCGGTTTTGTCATTCTGAACAAGCTTCTTCTGGATCAGAAATAGCGAAAGTTGTAAAATTTAAAAAGGGTCAATAATAAACGGAAATAATCTGCATAGAATGCAAAGTAATTGGTTGACGAACAATTCGCTATTACTAAGCACCCTTCATAAGTAATAAAGGAATATCGATGTTATGTTATCATCATCGTTATCGTTATTATTAGAATTTTTCAATAAAATAGCGTGTTAAATAGAGGCATTAATGTATTTTCCTTTAGGCAGAGTTTCTTTTTACTATCAGAATTTGCCGATCACCCCAAACAAAGGTCACTCTTGCGATCAGGTGATGAATAACATGGGTGATGAATAACGTGGGCGATTAATAACATGGGGATGACGAATAACGTGTGACGCGTGTGCTTCGTCCGACACGTAACTCTGTTTATTATTATAAGGACATAACGGCACCGGTTTGTTACAAAGAAGGTACTAGTACTGAGCATGTCATATCTATTACAGATGTTGTGCCGACGGTTACGGGAGAGTCGACACTTGGGATCTAACTTCCTTTCAACGGAGGTGTGGCTACAGCGTGATGGTCATTGTCACCGTAATCCTTCACACCAGCCACCAAAAAAAATTGACGATGTCCTTGATAAAAACGGCCGCTTCCTCGTCCTCTTATCAAATCAAAATGAAAACGCAACAACTAAGATCAGATGCGAGTGTGCAAATTATGCTCCATAAACAATATGGAGTGTGTCTTTCCGGGATTTTGGGAATGCAGTGTTGGCGGCCCGCGACACACACAACATACAAGGAGCTGCTCGATATGGCAGGCATAACAGGAATAATTTATTATATTAAGGTTAGGTTTTTTTTTTTAATGTATGTTTATACTAATATTGCTTATAGATATTCTCAGGACCGGCCCCGTCTATACCTGTCGCGAGTATCCGGACATGGAGCGGCGGCCCCTCGGTGGATGTGCATAATGACATGGATAAGTTACTTAAAGGTCTGCATTTTTATTTTTGAGGCTTTCCATGGTAAAACTTATAATTTAGTTGTTTCTATTTATTTTTCTAGCAATGCAAATATCAAGGACAGTATCATCTGCAATGCAACAGAAGAACAACTTGAATGCATCCAGAGTTATGGAATGCTCATATATTGTATGTAAGACATTGCATTGCATTTGTTGCTGATTGACTAATTCTAATAATTAATCATTCACTTTAGAGCATGAAACAACAATTTATACAATGCCAGCATGGCGAGTCTTCGCTCGCCCAAACAAATCAGGTGCTTGGATGGAAATAAACGTACACCCACCAGGTATTTATCACGATGGTTGTGATACAGTCAGCTGGCTAGAAATATTATGGAAAATATGTTATTGAAATCAAATTTATGATAGAGAGAGTATTCTTGTTAACTGCACAATTAAAGCTTTATTTATTGTTTTATACTTAAATTTTTGTGCTCTTTTTTGTTTAGATACACAAAAACTCGCACAAAGTTTAAATATCGACTAGATACTCAAACACCTCGATTTGGCATATGTAGGGACTTATGATAGGAGTCAATGACTTTCTTAATCCAACGCCCACGACACTTTTCATCTAACTCGACAGCTCCCCGTTTTCCTTGTAACCAACACATAGCACGAGATCTGATTCATGTTGATGCTGAAGATAACCCTGACAATGAATTCTTTTTATTTGTGTGATGCTACGCTATAAACAGTGACGTATTCTCTCCTAAATTTCTGCATTTCTCCGACGGCGCAGTAACACCAGCGCATGGTACAAGCAGTGCAAGTCATACGGGAAGTCATAATTGAAATAGTTGCTAAGAATAGATCAATTAGTCCACTCGAAAGATATATAATTAGTGTAGATTTCAGTTAGATAGAAGCAAGTAAAATAAGTGCATGTTTAGCATGTCTAATTACTCTCGATTCCTTTATTGTAAATAAATGAGTAGTTCTTTATACTCTGAATTCTTCCTATAACTTAAGTATAAGTCCAAGTATAAACATTAAATCATTAGCCATACCAAATGACGTGCACATTCAAGACACTGGATCATGCGTTAACAAATATCGTGTACATATTAATTATTAAATCGGTTATTTTCCGAATCGTTGAAATATTCTAACGAATATATAAAACAATTTCATCCAACATTTATAGCCTATTTTTCTTTATCTATATAATAATAAATAATTACAATAAATATTTGCTAAAATATTAATATTTATAATCGATAAATAAACAGATTTGTCGAATACACGTAATTCTGTAACGTTTGCAACAAATAAAACTGTAAATTGCGAATAAAAAATTTTTAAAATAACTGAACTGTTATAAAAAAAACAACATTTGCAACTGATTATTCTACATAACACACAAAAACTATTCAGCAGGCTACACCCTCACCTCTAGTTAAACATAATTATGATTGCTCATTTTGATCTGCTGATCAAACAAGTCATCATCTCCTAAAGTTTGGTCCGGCTGCCCTTCTAATGATTTATTACTTTCCATACTTATCATTGTTTCTAACACGATAAAAGGTTGCTACTCATAAATTGTGTCAGAGTTGTAGAACTTGGAGCCAATTTATTGTCATTCTTACTAAACAGCCTATAAAAAATCATGGAATTATTAGCAATTATAAAGAAACAGATATTTGCTTTATGTTTCCAGCTTCCGTTTCTTTCTTGGTTCACCATGTGCTGGTGTTAATGTTCGTTTATTTGTTATGATTTTCCTTTCCTCTTGATAAATTTCATAAGTAATTCTTTCTTTGTCTAAGTACTCCTGGAGAGTTTGGGTATCATTGATTTTAAAAACATAAGGTGCAAATTTTTCTCCTTGTTCTTTTTTTAATATACTTCTAATAGTGCTGTAATTCTTTGGTTCCATAGTGGATTTAATGTAAATCAGTTTCATATTAATATTTTTTATATAGAGATAATTCTATATATATTAATCCTGTTATGGTTTATATTCCTCACATTCTGGTATGATAAAGTGAACATTAAAATTAACAAGTCCATAAGCACCATTATTACTTTTCAAAACGTCATTGTCAATTTTACAGCCACATCATAATCAGCCCCTCAATTATAGAATGTTCACTTTGTCTGGTTTTGTTGCAGCATGCCCCATATATGAAAGTTTGCTCGTTCGCTCGTTCACTACGTTAGCCTTAGAGAGTCTGGCTGTCCTGTATGTACGTTTCGTATACTATTTATAAAGAAAATATCGACTTTTACTAAGAGGAGGTTTCGCGATTACAAGCGATTACAGGTATTTACTTGTGTTGGCTCTGCTGGAAGAATGTTTGCAAATGAAACGATATATTTTGTTCGTAGAAATGGTTCAGAGTCTTAGCTAAACATTGCAAACTCATACAACTCCCGATTAAGTCCAGTACAGTTCCACATTTATATTATAGCAAAATGGCTGGAACAAAGTTTGACATTGGATATGTAACTGACTTTTGTCAATAGAAGGAAATGCTTATTATTATGCACAACATATTCTTGGCTTGTATTACGAAATGGCATTGGAGTAGAAGCAGACACTTGAACTATATGAAAGAGCAGCTGAACTAGAACAGGGATATACTAAAGCATACAGTAATAGTAAGGTGTATACTTTTTATGAAAATGTGTCAGAAAAGATTGGTGTTAAAAAACGTCTTTAGTATAGATAGAATATTAGACGTAAATTGAGCAATATTATTAACAGAAGTGACTGTATTAGTATAGCTTACATATTCTTAATAGGTGTGATGAAATCAAGTAACTAACTTCCTATTACTATCCCATAAAAAAATAAGATTAAAGATATAGACTAAGTGATTTTCATTCTTTAAAATTTGTGATTACCGTATCCTCTGAAAATCAGCAGCCTCCAAGCTAATATGGTATCCGAAATAAGCACCACAATTGTCAAAAGTAAACTTTTTATTTATGAATTTTAAACATCTACATCATTACATGCGGTCACACCAGCTTCATGGCAACACACTTACGTTGTTAGTGAGTTGGTTTGTCTTCAATTTTGACTACATTCTCAATGATACAATAAATCTTTTCAACACAGTTGCCAATACATTACTCTTGTATCGTCAACATATTCACAGACCTTAGAATATTAAGAAGCAGTGCTTTTTATAAAGTCTGATACAATCGCGGTGAATTCATGTGGCTTTTCTGCGTGTACTGTATGAAAATGTAGAACAAAAACATGATAATAAGAGAAATGGCAAAAGTAAAAAATAAGAATATCACAAATGTAAACTCACCCCAATGTCCCGCATCCAGCTCTGCAAACACAGCATTCGGAAAAAACGACCTGATCGTTGGGTACACCTATTGTAATAAATCATATCACGTGAAAGTTTATGTCGAGTGACGGAAATCGTTCTCTTCGTTGCCACCCTCCCACCCCCGGTTATATCCCCAAATTTTGTAAAAACAAATGGCCTTCTAAGAACGAATGTTCCTTTTTGTGCCAGTTAAATCCCATCTCAGATTACCTTAGGCGGCACATAATTAGACTTGGTTCCAGCTATAAACAAGGCCCTTTTCTTAAAAGTGTGATGAGCCGATTTAAACGGAAACCCTCCCAAGTCATTAAGCGCATCTTCTAACGTATCGAGCGGTATTCTCCACTTGTACAATCCGGTTTGCGGATCTTTCGTCAAGTTTGTTAATAAAAACTGTCTCACTGTAATATCCTTAGAAGTAGAATTGACATGCTTTGAGTCTGCACGATTGCGGCTCACCTTCCCTCGAATTAAGTATAACTGCCGTACCTCTATATCCTCTTCCAAAATCTCGTTGGCAAAACTTTGTTTGGAAACATCGGCTGCGTCAACCTTTTTCATTGCTGCAATGTACGATGAAAAATTGGATGACAGACGGAAATTCACGGGAGCGGTGTCTACTACAATTACTTGGGAGACTTGTGGGTATTGGAGAAGAGCGAGGGTCATTACTACTTTCCCACCCCTAAATCAGATTAAAAAAGTGAGATGGACAAGCTTGTAGAAAAGTGAAGAAATAATAAGATATTCACATTGAGTGGCCTATAAGCACTGATCTATCGAGTTTTTGTTGAACGATAAACTCCGCGACGTCACTAGCCATTGATTCATATGTATGAACTGAAGAATGTGGGCTTTCCCCATGATTTCTCAAATCCTGCAAAAGGCCAATGAACCGATTTAATCAATTAACCCGATTCAATCTAATCTCTCCTTGTCTTACCGCTGCGTAGACTTTTGTATTCAAACTCTGCGCAAATGACTTTGCAAGTGACTTCCAATTCTGCTTTGATCCAAACAATCCATGCAATATAATAATAGGCGGTGATTCTTCTGGTTCTTGCGGTCGCCGCGGGAAATATTCTGTATATGCAAGTTGAAGCGGAATTGATTCTTTGTGTTGTTTTGAGTGCGAGTCTCTTGTGTATGCATGGTGATTTATAAAGGGATATGAAAGAGTAAGAGGAATCTTGAACGGACGGAGAGCAGATACGAGTGAAAACGTCATTTAGAGATCGGTACACTCATACGATCAAACCTATTTTGAGAACGACGTTGGTAAATTTTTACTTCTATGTATTCCATGTAATTACTTAGAAATTGCACAAACGATCGAAATAATATTAGCAATGATATAACTTTATAAACATTTTGCTTACATTACAAAAATGTCCTTTCTAGATTATCAAATAAAATTACAAGAACATCCTTTCTGAGTAAGTTAATCCGCAACTATAAATCTGTAGATTTTTATACAATCACGTGGTCCAACTTATCGAGGTCATTTGTTGTCATTAGTATCTCGGTAAACCTAGCTATCCAAGGATTGTCCGGGCTGATTGATCTAAAACATCGTTGCCAACAAGCACGTTTCTGCTTGACATACTTCGGAACCACTTCGTCCAACCACAAGTTATCTCGTAACTGTAGAACTGGGCTACCCTGCGAACGAATATATATAATGAGATTTCTGGTCGTATCCTTTATAGAAAGTCCTACTTTTTGGTGTAATTTTGGTAGCCCGTGAATAAGGTACGGCGCGAGCGATATTTTGTGTAACCTTGTAAGGGCGTCCGTTTCTGTCTGCTAATCACGTTTCATAAAAGATTTCCGCTTCACTAGCTGCATAGCTGAAGCATACTCCTTGGGAAAGGTCATTGTAAACGGAAAAAGGAAGATTGCGAAGTTGGCCTTCGAACACCTAGGAAAATCGTTGTGACAGTATACGAGCTCAATAAGGATGACGAAGCGGATTTAGAAGACCTCAGCCCCACAGCCTACTCCATATGAAACACGCTGAGTCGATGCAAGCTCTCCAAAATTCCATCACACTTTCTGCCAATTTTAGACCTCTTTATTATTTTCTGTAAGAAAAAAAATTGGTCACAACGTAATGACTATTCCATATATTTGAGTTGAACCATCCCTCCGAGTAAATCTGCAGATGCTATGATATTTAAGATCCATAGCATACAAGCTACACTGGAATCCTGGTTGGACAATTCATATTTGAGCAGGCTGACAACAAAAGATAGATAAGCTTTACCCGACCTGCAGACTTGTAAGCTTCCAGACTTTGCATATTAATATTTGTTTGCATGATCTTTATGGTTTCTTGCATAGCAATCTGATAGGTTCAATACAAGTCGATAATTATATGATTGATTGCTCGCAGGTTAGCAAAACTTGATAGAGATATTGATAAACAAGTGTTTTTGGATCATATCGATATGGGGTTATGTCTATCCCTGCATTAATTTTCTCCTTTCGACCAAGCGTTTGTTTAGTAAATCGAAGACAGACAAAATTTCTCTGCTCGTTTCTTTTTTCCCTTGATAAGCCGAACAACGTTACTTTACAAACTATTTTGACATGCTTGATATCTTCCGTGTCCGACTAATCGAGTAATTTAGTAACATTGTTTTTGTCCATTACGCGTACATAGCTGTTGTTGTACATTGTATCAATATATTTCGCGTTTACAAAGTCCAATGTTTTGTTGTTTGTTATTGATGATCGAGGATAAGGAAGATTTGATGATCTGGTGAAACCCGCGATTAAATCTTTGTTGGGTCTTCTACAGGACTTTGACCTTCTAAGAATTTAATAAATTAACTTGACAACTAAATGAACTTTGAAGTGCTAAATTCATAACAACATAAACATATGGTCAAGTAAATATTCAGTTGGACAATTCAATCCAATTAAGATTATATTTCGCGTGTGAAACATTCCGTATCAGAATAAACAAGAAGTCTAATCATAGGACACATTACTGTACCAAGCCCTGAATTTCTGCGCTTGAATATTATCCATTTGCTATATACTGTCAATTCTCGCATATGCAGTCCATATCATCAACGAGACACACACACACATACCGACTATGTCCCAACCACCAATGATACCATGGCAATCGAACACGCGTCTGCATACTCTAATGGATGTTTATAACATAAACGAATAATGAAGGCAGTTGGTGGCGAAATGACATCCGTCTATTATTTGTTTATTTATTATTTATTTTTTGGAGCCATATGAATTAACAATGACGAACCCAATAATTAGAAATTGTATTGCTGAACCTTTTCTGTGGGTGTTCCAATAAATTATTCACAACGCATCAAAGTTTATAACGTGTAGCGCCTTGCGCTTTTCCAACTCATCCTCTCGCTACATAAGATGACGAAAGACGTTAGATCAACCAGCTTAAATGTCATAATTTACAATCGCGTATGTACGTTGTGCGGGAACCCGATTCCCCACCCACACAGTAGATTTCTGATCTGGCTGAATATCGCTAACGTTGCAATATGCAGGAAACGACCGGATTCTACACACAACATACGTATGCACTGTAAACAACAATTTACCTTTTCCATCCAATTCAATGTAAACACCACAAGAGCAAGTACTCCCGTAGCTGCAATCAGAGTGATCAACACCCAAGGAACCCAATCACCGGGATGAATGTACAATTCAAGAGTCCATCTGTGAAAGAAAAAACATGAAAATTAGACAAAACAATAATAGACACCATTATAAGCGACTACAACATACGTGCTAGGATTTTCTACATCGCTTGGCTGATATGGAATAATTATCAGCTGTGAATTCGGTATTACTCCTGAAAAGGTGCTGTAGTGATTAGTCTATATAAAAAGTGAGTTATTTGTTAGTTCTGACATAAAGCTTATATGTTGCAAATAATGTTCCTTTTTCCAGATACAAACTTGATTACGCGTTGTTCCCACAAACAATTCTTCAACGTAATTATTAGTACGTCCTAGCCCAAACAGAGAATAAGGCGTCTGCATCGAAATGTATCCAGCTTGCGAATATTGAGCAACTAAATTCGGTTCACAATGTTAATAAATCTACAAAGGCATATGTCCTCTACGATTAAATCGAGTACCTTGGTTTGCTCTCTTCTTTCCCGAAGTGTCAAGAACTGTGAACTTGAACGCTGCTCCAGGATAGTTTACTCCAAAATTTTGTTTCTTCTCTACGCCATTGAGTACTAAAATAAGATAAAAAAGTCTGAGTGAAAATCGAATAAAATGCTTGTGCTAAACAAGGATTGTTTACGAACCAAGTGTCTTGACAAAAAATGCGTCATTAAAATAGTTATTTTGTATTGCGTGCACTTCTCTCGCAGCATTTCCGGATCCTGAAGAGCCAAGAACTATGATATCTAAAGTTCCCTATAAGAAAACAGAAATTTAATTGATCACATTTCAAACAATTAATGGTCCCTCATACTAGTACACACTCACATCCTCATCAAGATCGAAAAAGGCTGCTTGTTTAGCGTTTTCGATCGCTCTAAGATCTTCAGCCCCTTCTTTAACTTTAACAAAGGTGCGCCTTTGAGCACTTGGATGACATTCGGACTTTTCGTTTGGACACGGGTCAGAGCGCAATAACGATACATATGAATTACCGCCTGTTGAACTAATTATAAGAAGATCTGGATACCCATCAAGATTATAGTCGCCTATAATAAAAATTCAGTTTCCAAAGAATTAGATTCCGAGCTTGTACATTAGAAAACCGACAATCATGCTTATGAGGGTTACGTCTCAAACTGTCGTACCTATTCGTATTGGTACCGGTAATACACCATTGAATTCGTCATCGTCGGTTACGATCATGCCACCATCGAGCAAGCTATCTGTCGGGATTACCACATACGCCTGCCTCATCGAGTAGAATTTTTGCAGTACAATTGTGAGTCTCCCTCCTACTTTCGGAAAGCGTATGCCATAATTATCATACACATACATCATTATCTGGACTTTGTTTCAAATCAAAGGTAAACGCGTCATCGGCTGCACAAAGTTGAGCCGCCTGTCTGCAGTTAGTATCCTTCTTATCTGTGCACAGAGGTATTTGCCTGTTGTATGCGGTATGTATTTCACATGACGATTTACTGCACACTGGGAAAATCATGTCTATCGTACCATCCCCATCTGTTGAATCATAACATGAATAGATGGCTCACTACATCATCCTTTTTCATAATCAACAAAGATTGAAGTATGCAGTATATCTACCGAGATCAGCAAAAGATATCTGTCCAGTTCCTTCAGGGAGTTTGCCTTCGTTCTTACTGAGAACAAAGCCCTTTTCCTTGTCATTAATCCATATTTGAAATGACTTTCCACCATCCTCATCCTGACACGTCAAGAATAAATCTACAATAGTATAGGCAGTCTTAGTAGAGTTTTGATAGATGCAACAGAATTATTCACTAACATACCTGATAAGCAATCGCCGTTCAAATCTATGAATGCATTAGAATGGGGGTCGGCTAATTCACACGCAGTGTCATCTACGGGTAGATCTGATCTGTGATCCAACAATGTCAATAAGCCTACAGGCTGTCAGTTGTAACAAATAACTTTCAACCACGACTTACACTTCAAATAGAACGTCGCTTTCCGGGTTGTAAATGTTCTTCCAGAGTGTTAATTTTTTATCGGGATTGTTATCATATCGGTATCCCAAAAGATCCGTCGTCATATTGCCAGAAAAATCAAAAGGAATGGGTTGAGGTGACATAGCAGACGGTACCTCCAAGTAAGTTGTATCTATTTTGCGAATAATATTAGTGCTCCATCGATGCAATTCCACCCGTTTTAACTTGAAAGCTCAAAAGGTACGCACTGAATTGACTCTCCCCATCTCCAAGGTATACTCGCAATATCAATTCGTCATCATTCTTTTTATTAGGACCCATTACGAGTACATCAAGATTCCCATCGTAATTAAAATCGCCAGGAAGAACGTTTGTTATTGTAAAGTCGTTAGGTTCAATTGCAATCGTGGCGCTGGGAGATTTTATGAATTGCCCTTTGGCTAGTTGATAGACGTGTAAAGAATAAGATAAGCGACATATCTTTCATATAATTTTTGCAAGCTTTTAAGATTAGAATCGAACATTACCATGATCCCATATGTAAACGTTTACATGTTGCTGATCGGCACTTAGTACGAGTATGTCTGTGCTAAACCACATCAGGTTTGTTGTAAGTATGCGGCAATGATCACGTCTTTACGATATATATCATAACATACTAACAACTTGTCAGAATTGAAATCAGCAAAAGCGGCCACTGTTCCATCAATATTATTCAGTCCAACGTCAACATTATGTAGAGCGTTAGAAGGAAATCTGGCTGGTTGTAAGGCTGCCTTTGAAGCAGGTGCCAGCAGGACACCTACCACCAAAAGCAAAAAGTGTAGAATCATGTTTCGGTGTGTGGCGACAACAATGTTGGGATTACTATTACAGTATTTACTTATTCTGTGTCTGGTTTACCAGGGATCTGGATTTCATTAATTAAATATTAACAAACGTCACTTTTTTATTATTGTCGAGGCCGAATATTCGTAATGTAAAAGGCTCCTATTACACATTCGAAAGATACTAATAATAGCAGTTGACGCTCAACCAGCTAATAAAACAAATTGCGTTATGATAATGTTACTTGATTTACTCCTTCTCGGTGTTGTTTGTTTTGTCTCGATTTATTCAAGGATTTTGATTTTTACTGATCTAAATTTGTAAACACCGGGTGCTCGCTACACGTTGCAGTAACGTATTGATTTGTCTTTGCTTTCATCCCCTCGAAGAAAACGTGACTCTGACCTTTAAGTCCCAATATAAATTCTTGAAGTTATTATAGTGTAATCGCTGATTGGCAACGCAAAAACTTTAACAAAGTTACATACGTAATAGTAATTTTGATTATGATAGCAATCGTTTCAAGTTCCCTTCTACGCTTCTACCCACGCATAACCACGCTTGCTTTATTATGCGTTTGCATAAATAAAGTTAATGTTTTGGTGGTGTTAATCCCAAAAAATGCAAACGCGATGTGCCCTCATGCTATTCATGGCATGTGTGTGAGAATCTATTCGATAATCATTACTCGAGCAGGTGATACAGAATTGAAGCAAATGTGCAGAATTTAATGGTCGTTGAAGGAATGCACGTCAAATCGACCGCTTCAGCGTAATAGTAATGATTACTCCAAAGAAATCTTGGTTGATATCAATCCAGCGATGAACACGTAAAGCTCAATAACAAGTTATCATCATCATATCATCATCGGTAACAACAGAATATTTTTAACGCGACATATCATTGGTTGATCGTAATCATCATAGTTACATCTTTCAGGTAATTTGATCTCTTAAATAAGATATAAACCGGCAATCCCAATGATTTTTTTGATAACGCTAAAACACTGTCGTTATCCGACACAACTTATCGCGTAACTCAGTATGTGGAAAAAACGTGGAAACGGAAGAAAAAACAGAACTCCCAAGGACGAATACCGGCCGTGGAACGCCGCCATATTAGCAAAGGTGACTAGTTTGTCTCTTTCGCTTGCAACATTGTAGTACACGCCTCGGCGGGAAAGTTAAACAAATCCTTCCGTTATCCTCAATAGCAACCTGAAAGTAATATATCAGACAATAACAGGAATTCTCGTGAGGTTTTTCTTCTGTTTCTTTCACTTGCCTTTTCTTTCTTCTCATGCCAATGAACGATATGAACAAACAACGTGTCACAAAAATTACATTCTTCAAAAGATTAAAGAAACGTCGGGAGAAGAATTCACAGCTGCTGCTGTCTTGGGGAGTGATGTGCCACCCGAAAAAGAGACATTTCGCTACTGGAACGTCGTGGGGTTAGGTATCGTAGAGCCAAAAAAACCCTTTGAAAAACATTGGACACATTCGGAGGCTCAGAAAAACATTAACAGTCGTGAAGACGATGAAGTGATGAACGACACACAAGAGCCATCGGAATTGGTGCCACGCCATGAAAATCAGGTATTATTATTTGTCTTTAAAATATTTGGTAGTCAATGACAAACATAAATCAATCTTTTTTTTACCAGTATAAGCCATTTAGTAATCGACAAGATGCCCCACGGCACGATGCCCCACGACAGGATGCCCCACGACAGGATGCCCCACGACAAGATGCATCATGGCACGATGCCCCACGACAGGATGTACCACGATCACGACAGGATGCACCACGACAAAATACATCATGGCAGGATGCACCACGACAAAATACATCATGGCAGGATGCACCACGACAAGATGTATCATGGCAGGATGCACCACGACAAGATGCATCATGGCAGGATGCACCACGACAAGATGCATCATGGCAGGATGCACCACGACAAGATGCATCACGACAGGACGCACGACAATACAGGAACGATAATATAAAACGGAGCTCAAAAGACGCACCTGCGAAATCGAACATAGCAGAAGTAACGTTTCGATTGGTGGGCAGCGGCTTCAGACGCGCTGAAGCTTTAATAGTCGACATAAATTCATCTAATTCACCCAATATGTCAAGCTCGTATTATCCCAACAGCTCATCAAGCAGTCCTGCTTCTGTAAATTCGCCTTCGACCCCAGATGACCCGTTACTCAGCCCATTGTTAGAACTAAATGAAGCACTCATGTCTCAAGTAAAGACAATGAAAACACAGGACAGTAGTAAAGGTCCTGATTTGGTGAAGGCAAAACCAGATAAGGGCGGTTGGAAAGAGAATTGGGCACAAGGATATGGTAACATTTGGTGAGGCGGAAATAAATGGAGTTTTTCCATACAGATTTTTGGTCCATCTATCTATTAATGTAGCATTTTTATTTTCAGACTTGACCGTATTGGTGAGATCTATTTTCAAAGCAATTGATAACCTACAGCTTATCATCTGTGTATAGTCTTTTATCAATGAACATTTTATTTGTAAAAGAAGTTGCAATCTATTAAATGAAAATCATTTCTATATTAAGCGAACACTGTTTATGTTCGAATCGAAACTATCATCTGTAATAATAATAATAATAATACCCATTCTTTGACATCAAAGGTATTGGAATTTAACACTCGGGGAAGGAGATCCACAAGACGTTGTTTACGCTACTATGAAAATTCTGATTGATGATAGGAGGGCTTAGCCTCTCTGATTCCTTCCACATCCCTCTATATTTATTTTTATTTCACAATCTTTCGCTGCCATCGCTGTCTGTTATTAGTTTGCCACTACCAGTCTGATCTTAGAACGTTTAGCTAACGCTAAGGTCCCATATACACCCAATTTATTTACACGTGTTTCAAATTAATTCAGCTAGTGCTCTCCTCCTTATCAAGACTAATATGGACAAAGTGAACACAACAAGACAAATTGGGAATTGAGTAACATAAACATTACATTGTCATTCTTTTGACCAATCTCCGGAAGTTTTATAGAATAGAAGATGATAGTAACCATACTAATACTTTGTTGTGATTTCGAACCAGGAAGAGAACCAATTAGTTTACCTACTGAATGAGATTCAAAAACTCGGTGGTCTGTTTGAAATGAGATTTGAGCCAGCTCGTACCTATTTAATTAATTATTTGTTCGATTGATCACAAGACGAAAGGACTAATACTAAGATCAAATTTTAGGTATCCCGTGATAGAGTGTGGAAGCTTAAATCCCAAAGGGAAAATAGTTGACTGTATTCGTAATCAGGTGAGAATACCTTCACGTAAAGAAGTTTATCATTAGACGCAGAATAAAGAACTTATCGAGATGGAGAACTTTCTGTGCTATGTTTACAGTCAACGCATGACAGAATAGTTAATAAAAAGAAACAGATTTTTCAAACTTTATCTAATTGCAATTATCCAATTTCACGATTTGAAATGAGAATTAAATACACATTACTGAAACAAAGTCTTGTGGTAAGAACTACAAATTTTCACAGCATAAGCAAGCTTGTCACTTGAGATTATTACGTATATCCTCGTAACGACGGGCTCTCATACTATCAATCTTAATCAATCGGTCACAGATCCCCACTATTTCATCATTAAATTTACACACTTCAGAATCATCTAGCTTCTTGGCGTATTTGAGTTCTTGATACAAATGCATAAGCGTCTGTAGACACCCTGGTTAGAAGGAAATGAATATGATTTTAGTCACAAACCGCCGCACAAGACATTCTATAATGTAAATAAAAAGTCTTACATTTGCTGTTTGACTCTTCTTCGAGCAGTTCTTTAAATTCTTCTATTTCATCAGCTATTATAGTGGATCGATCTCCTTTTATTGTTACTAATGCCACCGAAGACTCTTCGTGTATACTATCACCAGGAACGGGGATACGGTGTGGTTCTAGGACCCAAAATTTAGATTTGTTACTAGAGTATTAAGCAATGCCAATTCGATGCACAACACGTACCTCTCCCAAGCAGCCACCAGTAATACAGCCAAGCACTCTGATCATCAGGATCCGTGTAAATAGCCGACTTGGCAATTCCGAATTCTAATGAAAGAAAAACGAGTCTTGTAGCAGTTCAATCGCCCAATGTCTACCATGGAGGGTAGAGTTACCTTCATCAATTAATCTTTTTCTCTCGTCTTCATTCGCATCTGACAATAGATGGGGCAACAACTTACTCCGCTGATGCCAAGCGGAATAGTTGGAAAAGTTCTGCTCCAGCTTCTTTTTGGTAAAGTCCAAGTCTGTCTGTAAGAGATCTTTGGGTTGCATACTATTAACAAGTTTAGACTTAACATAGCGTCGATAATCCCACCCATGGACTGTTTAATTAGAGAGAGAGGTTCAAAAACAAGCAAGTCAGTTAATTAAATTTAAGACATAATAACAAATAATAATATTATTATCGTTACAATTTCTTGCATCCAGTTCCAACATCTTCTCGACAAGATATAATTCTTTCTTCCAGTCGGGATTAGGCATGGTTTCAAGACACCAATGACGATGATTAAATATCCAATAGGACTTTGGATTCGATTGAAAAATTTCTTGAAGAAAGACGAGTTCTTCAGACAATGACTCTTGCCTTTGATCTTCTGGTCTGCGAACAACAAAAAATACAGTTTAAAAAAAAAAAGCGTAAGATTTCAATAAAATTCTTAAAACACGGGGATCCATACGCGTCTTTTAAGAGTCCATGTATGAGTATATTCCTTCGGAAATTCCATATTGTATAAAAGTCAGGATTCTGCCATAAAATCTTGGTCGTTATTTCGAATGCATCCTGAGTGTATTCATGATTTGATCTCTGTGGACAGCAACCAAATATACATGTTTGTTTTATTATAATAGATGGTTTGAATCGTTTCCATAACATATCATTAATATTAAATGCGCCATGCAATGCATCAAATACCAAGAGGTAGCACGCATATTATCATGCAAATTGACTTTCCATTCTAAAGCAAATTTCCACAAGTTGTCTATATTCTTTAATCTTGACGGCCTCTTTCTCTTTGCGTGCACGTTCAGCCTCTGCAGTCGGCTTTACACGGCGTCGTCCGTGCTATGAATATATTATGTGCAGAAGCATGTTAGAACTATGGTAGCGGTTGTCCACTCGCATAGAATTCTATTAACGTACCATGTTGACAGGATGGATAGAATCTACGAGGGCAAAAAGCCACAAATGGATTTTGTACAGTTGGGCGCCACAATAATGCCACTTTGTCACGTCACATTCTGTGGCGCTAGGTCTGCTAGAACAAAAGCTGCGCACTGTTTTTGTTATGATGCAATGTTCACACCCAAGCTGGTTGGTTGTTGTCAATACGCTTGCAAGAGGTTGGCTGCTAATTGCTATTTTAACAGACAGCTTCGTTTCGTTTATTTTTAACCAATGCGGAAAAACATGATGTGTTGGAGCAAATACAGGTGATCATGGCTCACTAAATCATATGATACAAAAACTTTGGCCAAAAAAGGTTCGCAGTTACTCAACAATTAACATATCAATTTTTATTTAGTAAAGTTTATTAAAAAGCTAAAAACTCTAGTTTTATTTACATAAAGTTTAAGAAATTATTTTAATTATAAGTGTACATCTGTTCTTCATTGAATTGACGATATTAACTATTTGGAATTGCATTCCACTCTTCTATCATTAATCATTGCAATTCAGCCAAATTACTTGGCATTTGTAATTCTGTGTTTCTTTTGACAATAACCCACAAATTTTCTATGGGATCAAGATGCGTAAAATTTTCGTCTCGCGAAGCGAGGATGCTTTCGCATCTGAAGATATACCCCATGATCCGAATTGATTTCTTATTGCCAGCGATTTTTTCAATTAATTTAAACCGGAAGAAAAAAAATCTAGCGTAGTAGTTTTTTTGATTGATTGCTTCTGGCTGGGCTTCCTCCAGTTAGCAAAAAGTCGAGCATGACGACGTAAACGCAAAGCCATCGTCATTGTCTGCTAACTGCTGAATTAATTGTTTCTGTTCCGCAGACCGAAAGAGAAAAAAATCTAGCGTGCAATAATTAATAATTACTTTTTTTCGATTGATTGCTTGATCGCGAATGACGACGCAAATGCGAATCCATCGTCATTATTTGACAGATGGCCGGTTGAATTGATTATTTTTAACTGGAAAAAAAAAATATGTGCATTGAATATGAAATGATGACGCGAATGCAAAGTCGTCGTCGCTTCGAATGACTTACATATACAGTGTGTAATAAAAAAACTGCCTTCACAAAAAGTACCATAACTCAATGACCATGTGAAATGTTTAGACAATTCCAGCTTTTTTTAGAAAGCTTATATAATTTTCAATATAAAATTCTATCTCTATTTTTCTCCAAAACAAGCTCACACTACTTTTTCATTGATGAAACTAAATTTTTTACAGTCATTTCTGGAATTGCATTTCAATCTTCAGTCATAAACTGCTTTAATTTGTCAATATTTTTTGGTATCCGTTTTTTCAACATTGTTCTTCACTATATGCCAATTCAGACTATTAGACGCCCAATCAATAGTCCAAATTCCATTTCTACAATAAAATCCTTAGCAGTTTTTGCCGTACATATGTTGAGCAGCGGCAGGAGCTATGTCTGCAATATGCTTACCATCCATTACGTTTGTGAAGCAAAATAAAGGCGTTTTTCCTTTTCGTGAAATGCCCCCCCCATGCCATTACTTTTTAGCGTGATTTTAGTAACCGACAAATAGGTTTTTCGTCACTCTTATGCCACCGACGGACTTTATTCCGGAAAAGATCAAATGCTGTCTCGTCAGTAAATATAGTTCGGGCCCAATTGTCCCGTAAGTGTGCCAGTACCCAAGCTTTCGTAGCTCAATATGCCGACCAGTGAGCATAGGCGTTGCAGAGGTATATAGAGTTCTCATACTTCTCTTTTTTTCCATATGTCACTAAGTGGCAGCATGTGAGATGGAAATATCTTGTGTCTTTTGTATGGCAGAAGCAAGTCGATATAGCGCACGTGCGCGAGCGATGTTTTGTGTAACCTTTGAAGGACGTCCATTGCCCTTCTTGTGCTCGATAGTTCCCGTATCTCGTAGTTTTTTTTAGATTGTCGACAACAGTGAGATACGGAATATTGGTATTTCCTTGAGGATTGGACGTCATTAAGCCAATAGTGATAAATTGTTCGTCATTGGGCTTCAAGTCTCGAGTTAACCGTGGTTGCAAGAAAGAACAACGGGACTGGTGGAAATATGTATTACTTGAATACGTTTAGTAATGATGTTTATTTACAAAATACGTTCAATTTCGGAAGGCGTTACACACTGTACATTGGCCATTCTCTTTCAAACTTTTCTGTCCTTGCTCATGGATACAAGATAGGCTTTGGCTACTTAATATTAAGAGCACACCCATATTAATATGTTTGTGATTTAAAGTCACATAAGCCCTCATGAATTCATATTATTACTTGCATTAGACGCATTTCGTTTCTCAGGGTAGCAATATTTTTGTTATCTACTGCGGCTTACTAAATAGATCGTCTTATCGTTATACTCGGAACAGTTTAATCTTTAGTGCTTAATTCTGTCTGAATTCTTCACCCTCAATTTAGATACTAAACTTTGTACGATATGATCCAGTACGCTTCTTATTTGTACGAGCATGACTCAACTTTCATCATTTTGCTTGTTACACGTTTGGATGTAGAGGAGGATCCCCGCCTTTTAGCTTTCCAAAAATGTCACAAGTATTTCTGCGGACCGGTTTCCACGGCGCGCACGTTATACTGTTATCAATACCACGGAAGATTATGTGACAAGTTCTGTGAACATAAGTGTCTTTATTTGATAGATTCTTGTTCTTTCCGTATGTATGCACATAACGTTATATTATCGTATATCATACATTATTTACCGAATGTCTTGTAACAGTGCAGTGGGTGGATTGCGAAACAGAAACTTCGTCCCGAGCGCCAACGCACCATTATATGCCATAGCTAGAAAGGAGACGAACAACTTAAGCTTTGCAATTAGTATTAGGACAAGATACATCTGATAGTAGCAGGGAAAACTGGGAATTACCGTACCAAATATCTTGACCATAAATCGAACTATGGCTCAACCAAGACGTCCTGTAGCAGTAATCTACTTGGCAACATTTAGTGTACTGGTTCTCTGATACATACAGTATTTGTAAAGGACTGACCAGCTAGTGTAGGCCTTCAACTAGAGATTCGGTGCAATCGCGTAAATCATACAAATAGTACTGCCAACAAATGTTGGGGAGATCTCCTCAAACCCATCATGGGATTTACGCCGAATACATTTTTGTCGCTTACCCTTAGATGCAAATACTTAGCCGACCTTTGTTTATGATAATTTCATTGTACAAATTATTTCGATTGGGCGTTTGCATAAAACCTTTTAAGCAGTCTGTTCAACCAACCAATCAAGATCTGATGTGTCATTATATGTTAATATACAGTAAAATAATAGCATGCATACTTTGCATCGTTAATATAATAACAGGCATACTTGTGCATCATTACATCGATACCTGATGGTTGACAGATCAACATACTGTTGGGTTTATTGACCAAGCAACTGTATGGCGCAGTACCGGAGATATCATCCGATCAACCATTTGTTACCGCAGCTCTTTAGAATTCACCAGTACTGGGGGTTGTACAAGCCGCAGATCAGTTGATACTATTATAAAAATGCTGCTGCAAGATCCCAAATATTTTCTCATTGATCATACTGTACAATGGGCATACGAGAAACACACACGACTGCTCGGCAGCAGCCACGAGCAGCAAGTCAAAAACCAACAATACCAAGTAGTATAACGGATACGTTAAAGTTATGCATAAAGTATTTCTGGTGCGGCGTTAAAGACGCGTTCGCCTGGCCGTCGAGCTTGATCGTGGTATATATGTGAGTTTCATTGACATGACTATACGTTCAAGAGTATCATATGTGTAACTTTAATCCTGGTTAGAATGTCTTAAAACCAATCATTTTCGCTGACGATACGTCTATCGTGGACCTCGCTAATAGGTCAAGCACAATCCGTAATCGCGCCTTGAAATGCTTCACTTTGAACGGAGCGATATTTCTGGGGAGCATATTATTCTTTAATCGTGTCGTATTACCAATGTTGTATACACTTCAAGCAAAACCGGAATCTGGTTATCAAGAAAAAGGTCTAGAAAAAGGAGAATTTGAAATGGAGGGGAAAGTGAAACATTCCCTGTTTGTGACGGCCATGCTTGGGTTGTTTGTAAAATCGGCATATCAAGTAGTGTATTATACAATTCTCAGTTTAATGTTTTGACAAAAGTTATGCAAGCTGTGCTAATGCGGAATGCAACCATGTTGTAGTTATTCTGGATTTATCCCGTATTTTTACTAAGCTTCATTCTGAACGCAATATGGTATCAACAAATAGCGGACAAAGCCTACAGTCTATGTTATGGACAGCCTGTTGTCCGAAAGATGTCTTATTTCAGGTAAGATGATTGCTTACTAAGAGTGCTTAATTAATAATGCGGATAGTTTTTGCCGCTTCCATAGAGCCTCAGTTAGCTTTTTTTCAATAGAATTCCACGAATTATAGCAGATGAGGTATATCGGGCGCTGTTGGTAATGAATTATGTGGCTATAGCGATACTGGTGTATGGCATACCGTTGATTGGGCCGGTGGTCTCTTTTATCTTCTTCTGCTGGATATACGCATTCTACAGCTTTGAGTGAGTGTACATTCAGCTGGTCGAGGGGTCGTTGTTAACTATTGATTTTTGTTCTTCGAGTTGCTGATCAGCAATATTTTCTTCTTCAATTCAGATATAAATGGACGGCAGAAGGATGGAACCTGGAACAACGAATTAATTACTTTGAAGAAAGATGGGCTTACTTTGCTGGATTCGGTATGCAAGTTCTACTGCTTATGCGCGTGTAATTGTGTTATTGTAATGGACGAGACGGGGGAAAAAATACTTACAGTTGTTTTCTATCAAAGGCTTCTTTTATACAGGAGCTACGTTCTTCGCAAACAAATTCCTTAGTGCAGGGATATTTACTATGGCCTTCCCGATAGTAAGCACTTGTTTATCGAGTTATTGTTAACGGAGCAGAGAATAGACCAGCATAGATCGAATCGTATATACAAAGTCTCTAATGTCAATTTATATCCCAATTCACCAGTATATAATCATGGCGAATAACGCTCTTCCGCTGCCACGTAATGATGAACGTGCCCTTTTCTCACGGTGTGTACCTTACAAACTCCCAATATTCTGGATGGCTAAAAAACTTAACAACAAATTCATTAGTTGCATCAAAAGATAATTTACATGAAAATAGGCTAACAACGTGTTGTGTTAGACTTTTTCTACATTAGTATTAGATAAATATAATTTGAACTTGAAGATTGTATGCAAAGAGAATGATAAATAGAGTTATAGAACGAACTAAACTAAATCATTCTTCAAGATTGAACAATTTATTTGAAATTCTTGCTTCGCTTCAATATGCTGCCTAAAGATAAGTATCGTAGGCTGAGAATGTAAATTTACGCGACGAGACTTGTCTTTAACATCTTTACAGTGTGATCTAACAAAAAACTCAATAAATCTCTTTCCGATAATTATCTCTTTCGAAATATTTCTTGACTCATACGAAGTTATAAATTATTGTATGACTCAACTATAAAAAAAAAAGCAAGATTGACACCAAAACAAAAACACTTGCTGCAACGTATTTTCAAAGTACACAAAAAGATTATCTAATCGCAAGTGACATAATTGCGTTATCCAAAGCAGCTTTTGTCCAATAAAGATGGTTCATTATATTGAGCTCTGACAAAATCCGCAGGTGCAGACAAAAATGCTAATTGATTTCCAGTAGACATCTCTCGTTTGCTTTTCCTTGGTTGGGTGTTTGCCAACAAGATCAGCTTTTGACCACTGCATGCTTCTTTTGTGTATCAATAATGACAAGCATGTCTGTTATGGCTGAAATGGGGCATGCTGCAACAAAACCAGACAAAGTGAACATTTGAATAAATTGCTAGTGTGGCATAATTCTGTCAAATGTTAACGATACGGCATAAAATTATGAAAACATTAGAATTTTGACCAATAAAATCGCACAATTTTATTATGGTAACGAGTTTGTTAACGCTGACGGTCTAACTGCATACGTGTAGTGTGTAACCGTACATAACGACGTATATTATATAAAACATTATTCAACTTAATGACAAAGTTAAATGGTCAGATTCTAAATCTAATAAAACTGCTTAATTTCGCTCTGAGATATTCGTCGTAATGTTCAAGTCTACGTAAAAAGTCTACTGGATATACAATGTTCCGCTTCAGCCGGCCTGTTATTAGAATCTTAAGGCTTTGTCTAGACGTAGTCCTAGAGCAAGCAACATAAAGTTGGCCATGAGAAAATACTGGAGTCGGCAAATGAACTCCTACGTAATTTAAAGTTTGACCTTGCGTCTTATTGATGGTCATGGCAAAGTCGAGGAAGAAAGGCACGTGATCCAGAAAAATCTTCTACGTTACACTGTATGCAATAGCGTCGTGCAAATATGTAATGTCTACCGTCTAATTTTTTTGATATATATAGATAATCGGCGCACCATATAAACGTGCACACATTCTTCCGTTTCCCTCGAATAACTCGACGGCATGCCACTTACTATAGATGATGTTCCCGACTCGTTTTACGGTTCATATGTAAGGAAGCATAAAATTGCTACGGAAGCCGATATCATTAAGGCATACGAAAAACAACAAGGTATGTACAGTACGTTTATTGGGAGGATAGTTACGAATGTTATCAACGCAACAGTTGGGAAGAGCTGAATCGTAACAGAGCTAGGTTATACATAAACTCGTTTCAAAGACAAACTCGAGAGGACAAGGGACATTATGGGTTAATAGAGGAGCAACGGGGGTGCCATGGTGTCAACAGAGTTGGAGTGCATTACAACACGCGCGTTGGGAGGAGTATAGAATAGAGCATAGTAAATGCTATTATATCACCGTATGGTTGGATATTGGAATACTGTTACAACAAATATAACTATTTTCATACATTCATTCAAGAGAATGTTCTTAATAATTTCTGTAATGTCCATTAACTTGCGCTCTTGTCGTTTTTCTCTGTTGCTAAAGTGGTACATCTTATATTTTGCTTGTCCACCTCTGAGGAATGTCGGCAAACTGTCTGTGAGCTAACTAAACTTTGTTGTTATTTTTTAATTTCCTAAAGCAAGACATGTTGGTAGGAGTCTGGGAAAAAAGCAGCCTGAAATCGGTCTTAACGCTTTTGCGATGAAAATGGATGTTGTTGAATATGCGTTTGAGCATCAAGACAAACATGACCAAAACAATACTGTCAATGCCTTTCTCAAGTTCTTGCAAGAGGAATGCATTAATCGGTGGACGCCCGATTGTAATTATTATTCGCCATATATGTCAGTAGTACAAGCGAGTGGCATGGGGAAGTCTGCAATGATCAAATTGATTTCCTGGCCGGATAAGACATATCTAGCTGTTTTCTTCACTCCGAGCTCCCTGTTTTCACAGTGAGCGCTCATCCAATTCCTCTCATATGAGAGATGCCAACCCGTCTTGTAAATATCATCAAATAGAATGTACAGTAGAATAGAATTATGTTATAAGCATATGTATTTTTATATTTATTTGTAAGTTATGTTTTATTTATTAGTAATATGTACTAGTACCCCAAGGTGCTAGATATGTCTTGATAGGTAGTAGAAGCACAGAAAATAAGGGGTCACCCCATGTGTGCCTAAATAAAGACCTCGAAACCTCAAATTGATTTCTGACAGAGTATTTGTTGTATACTGTTGTTTGAGGAATGTACAACAAGAATTAGATCTAGGCTATCCAAAACGGTCCAGCATCACTCCAGTCTTGTTGCTTGATCATAAGTTGACAAAAATGTCAAATAATGGGGTTGAAATTTCTGTTCATCCAGAAAACATTCATCTGCTATTTCTGGGTGCTTGTATAGATTTACTGGCCACATCATTAAAGATGCCGTTGGAATGGTTTTACTTTCAAAAAAGTTGTTCCTTTTGGTCACAAATTCATGCATTGATGGAGAACTTGAAGAATGAAATCCCAGAACCTCAATCTGAAGTGGAACTGCAAGATGAAAGGAATTCTTGTTAACTAAATGGAAAAATCTGTGTAACAGACCAAATTTTATGAAAGACTTCCGACTTGTCTTTGTTTATGATGAATGTCATAGTCTTGTTGAGAAAGATATTTTTTTACATGCTTGTCGAGCTTTCAGAGCACTGCCAAGAACAGAATCTGTATCATCTCCATTTGTTATAGTTATGGACACATTCTCGCGAATTTCTAATTTTTCTCCAACAAAACATCATGAACCTTCAATATGTGCTTCAGTCTCACAGATGTGACTCTTTCCACCATATTATCTTCTTGACTTTGTTGACATTTTTGTTCCTCAGATATCTCCAACAAATTTAAGCAAGTTTGCAGAACCTAATCACTGGATGCTTTATGGGCGACCACTGTGGGGAGCTTTAGTACAGGCACAACACACCAAAGAGCTTAAAAATAAATATCCATTGTTGGATATTTTACTAATGGCTGCTGGTAAACTCATTGGTGGGGTTGATTTTCGTAATTGGTTTTCAAATTATAAGATAAAAAATGAAAGAGTTACACCCTTGGTTGCTATCGCTGTATTGGGTCAGAGACTTGTACTCAACATAATACCACAGTCAGAACTTGCAATGGAATTAGTAGCAAGTGCTATGCGAGTTTGTCTACATATTACAGAAGATCGTGGAACTATTCTATCAACATACTTGTCTGAGCCAACTTTAGCTGAGGCTGCAGCATATATCATGAACATTGACAATGGGTTGCTTGTACCAGATCTGCTGACTATGTTAATCAATAGTATCAAAGAAGGAGTTGCAGAGGCCAGTTATCGTGGTGAATTGGTAGCACATTTTCTCTTACTGTTGGCATATGACTATGCTTGTAGTCAGTTTAAAGCGACTGTGTCATATTTTCCTGGCTATTATTCACAAGGCATCACTGTGCAACAATTCTTGCAGGCTTTGCTGGATTATGAGATTTTTAACCTAATTGCAACAGATATTTCCACCAGTAAACCCAATGCACTAGCACCACTTGGTAAAGGTTATATATGATTCAATCACTTTGTCTCAATAACCTACACACCTTCAAGAAAGCAATTGTTGAAATTCTTAGAACAAGGAGCTGCTGTATTGTGTAAACATAACCAATGTGGTGTAGACATTATCATACCAGTGTTACTAGACCCTGAAGGAAGGATGAATATCAATAATATAACCTATATTCTTGTGCAAGTCAAAAACTGGAGACATACACCATCACAGCGTCAAGTCCAAGAAGCTTCAAGAATGAAACTCTCCCCTGAGTTTGCTGGAATTACCACACAACATTTACTACCTTATTTGTCTCTCTATTTGCAGCTGGGTGATGAGAAATGCACAGCACATGTTGTGGAAGATATTGGTATTTTACCAGAAGTTGACAGCTTGTATAAATTAGTTTTGTCAAACCCCAATTTATTGAAATGCCCAGCTGATAATGTAGAAATTCCCTTGAAAAGAGTCAAAATTGGCAGAAATAATCCACATTATCCATCAGAGACATCAGTTTCTTCTGTGATACGTCAGACTTTCCAAGTGTCATTAGCTGTTTATGGTCTTGGAGAAGAAGTGTATGCTTGTTTCAATCACTTCACATCTATTGAGATCAAAACATACGTTTTAACATCTCTGAAAAAGCTCTGTTGCCTGGCCTGATGCAGCTGAGCTTGAGGATGATAGTGAACGTGTACGGCGTATGCAACCATTAGTATATATTCATGCCAGTCAATAATAGCAATATAAATAGTGTTTCGTAAAGCTGTTATTATGATAAGAATACCTCTAAGTGCACGTCGTCAAGACCATCATGCATTTAGAGAATGCCAATCATTTTAATTTCATGTGACCTCTACGGTATACTATACCATTAACATTAACAATTTGTAATAAATTTTGTCCAAGTGAATATCTAAGGTTTAATGGATGTAACTAACGAAAAAAAAATATTATTACTAGATGCTTTACAGTTCTTCGCGAAATGTCCGCAGTTAGAGCAGATTTTATTGTTTTTGTTGTTGTCTACAGTCGAACCTCGTTATAACGAAGAGGTCGGGACCATAAGGCAAAAATTCCAAGAAATTCGGTTTAACGAGGTTCAATTAGTAAATTCGGTTTAACGAGGTAATTTGCTACAGACGTTTCTGTACTTACCTTCGGTTTAATGGGTTTTTACTTGTAACGGAGTTCGGTATAACGAGGTTCGATTGTATATTAGTTGCATTTGAAGAGCGTCTGAACATCTTGGCTACGGAATGAGAACGTAAACAAAGAAAAAGGTTTACTCAATTAGCTACTTATATGGTGTTAGTCGCATGGATATTCGTTGACGACAGTGAGTTCCATACTGAGACAAGGTGTTACTTAGAAGTTTGTATAAGCTCTAAGAAAATTTTTGCATGGTTTAAATTGAATTTGTTTGCATATTCACAAATTTCGCGTTTATTATCAATGCTCAACTGAGCTCTTTTTCCGATTGACGTCGTAAGGACATTGTGCAAAAATCAACGAAGTACACAATGGCTCTCTTTATAGTGTACCTCCTTTATAGTGGAGACTAATTAAAATCGCAACATAGTGGATAAGGTTCAAAACCATCTATAATGAATGCTACCCGATATAGTGTATTTACTATAAAATTTCAAAAACTCTCGATATAGTATATTTTTGAGAATTTTTTACTAGTAGATTTTTTTGATACACTATAAAGAGAGTCATTGTGTAGTTATGGGACTATTTATATACAACATTGTTACGACAAAGCATCGATAAACGAATACTCTGCTACTTGTCTTAATCGCAAAGAACTTAATGCAAAGTGTCGATTCAGAGACTAATATGACAACCCTATTAATCGCCATGGTTTATAAATAAATGATTATTCCATAATATTAATATATGTCATTTGTTCGATCTGTTTGCTGGAAGTATCTTGCCGGAGAGAGGGGAATTGGATAGGGCAAATCCAAAATCTGCTTGATAGATTTTTGTAATAAGGGTAATAATTATTGCTCATTAACATTAACACATATTAATATCATGTAAGTTTAATTAATTACAAGATGATTCCGCTTTTTATTTTCTTATTACAGATGGTGTGATAAAGTTGATTCAAGTCGACGAGATCGCTCATAAGAAGAAAGGCGATGAATATGAGGAATGTAGGGAGAAATAAAGAGTCGATTAAACGTCATTGTCATTGCTATTAATTTTACATATTAATATCCTAACATCAGCGCGTTTATTTTAATTTGTGCATTGATTGACTTTGCACATTATCAAATGTTGGTGCAACATAAATATAAACTGTGGCTGATTTGATCCAATAATAAGATTATACAGCATGAAGATCGAAGAAAAAACTCTCTTCCTTAATCTGTCGGCGAAACAATAGTAAATCCTATCATTAAAAACGAGTTGTCATCAGTATTGGCTAGATATATAAACGACACATTAGTATGAGGCATAGCTATAATTTTAGTTTTTTTAATAACAAACTATAATAATAAAAGATGGACAACACTTTTACTGCTGAAATGTCTATGTCTGTATCAAATGCTCCACCAGTCGGTGCAGCATATTTTAACAGACCACTTGAACAATGGAGCTTGCTGTCATTTTTAAAGAGGCTGCAAGAGCTAGACTATAACACAGAGTATACGTTTTACGAAAGAACCATCAATCAGGTATTTGATGATACAAAAAGACGAAAGCTGCTACCTTTAATTATTATTGAAATAAGTATAATAATAAAACTCATTGAATGTTTTTTTTTGTAGGCCGAAAAAATGACAGAGGATGTTGCGAAGTTTTGGTTAGGGTGGTGTCAGCAATATGGTGCATCCAGCCAAGCCTTGATACCACCTGAAACCAGAGGCTTTTTTGGTATGTTAATGTGACCCCTGTTGTTTTATATTTAATCCACTGCCATACAGCTCTAATACAAACACTACTTAATTAGACGTAATATTGAAACAGAAGTCATATGACTATGATCAATTGCAAAAGGGAACATGTATACGGTGTGTAGAACTTGTCATATAGGTGATTTTTCGGGGAAACCCTTCAGCCTGGATAACGATAAGGTCTACACTGATAGGTGCAAGCTCTTCCGGTGCATGAAGGACGCACTTGATGATTGCCTACAGGCAATCGCGCAGAACAAAATAGAGCGAGAGGCATATGAGATTGCAAAACGTATGCTGGCATACGGCGTGCAATCTTATAGAAATACCGTTGACATATTCGCTATGAATATGCCATTTCCAAATATATTAATATGTCTTATTAGTCACTAGTACTAGGGAACTTTAGCATGATGTATATGTTGTTAACGATAATATAAATAACACAATTACTGAAAAGGTCTACAGTCAACTGCCTATAATTCGACCGCTTGCGTTCCGAGGTTATCGATCGAATTAACGTACAAGTCGAATTATCGTCAGTTAATTACAATAGAAATAATAATAAATGTCATGTAACCAGTGGTCGAATTAACGTATAATCGAATTAAAGACTGTAGTTTCTACGTCATTTGACCTGATTAGGTTGCACAATTCCCTGGTTTAGAATGAGAAAAAAATTGTGACGTGCAAACTTGAAAATGCAGAAAGACACTGAAGAATTTCTTAGAAACATAAGAGAATTAAGAGGCAAAATAAATGATGTTAAACAGCAAATATCTACAATTACCAAGAAGTAAGAATAAAGAGCTGCTTTATTTCTGGTCATGCAGCATAATGCTAAGTAATACTCACACTCGATATTACAAATAGTGATCAATTGAAAACGATCAATGGCGTTTCTCTCCTTGACGTAAAAAACATCGGCTTGCTTCAGTATATCACAAATCTTGCTTTCTTAATCCATATAAAGCTGGACGGGAAACCGTTATCCGAGCATTCCGTTGTCATGAATCTGGTCGAATTACGTGTCGTACTGGAGAAGATCAAACCAATTGAACAGAAACTAAAGTATCAAATCGATAAATTAATACGAACTGCTAAATTTGGGGAGAATACTGAAACAGAAAGAGCTACCGCAAAAGCAGCAAGTATGGCATTTCTGTTATTTCGTGACTAGGATGAAAAACGGTGTTTGGCAACTAATCAGATCGAATAACTTGCCTTAGTGATCGACCCATTGTCATTCAAGCCAAATCCAGATAATTTTGTTGCTGGAACGGAAGAATCTAAGAATGGTGAGTGTTATTACCATATGAATAAGTTTAAGGATTTGGTTTACTATCCTGCTACTAATGTTATTAATAATGGGCTATGTTTTATCCCAATTACAAGATGTGACCGATGACTCTCAAGGTGTATACAAAGCACCAAAACTAGCACCCGTGCATTTTGAAGAAGACAAAGGTTTTTATTTTCTACATTTTTCTATGCATTTTCTATCTTGACACGGCCTAGACGAACTAACTATATGCAATATTAATAGGAAACCTTTCCAAACGCGAAAAGGAGCGGGCTCGTGCTCTTGTTCGAGCATCGAAATCACGTTTAATGAAAGATATAATAACAGAATACGATGATCGTCCCGAAGAGGTTGCCATAATAGGTGCCAGTCAGGAAAGCATAGCTCAATTGGACGATAAGGATAAGCAGAAGATAGCAGAACGTGAGCGATACGAAGAGGAAAACTTTATGAGACTTGTCTTACCAAAGAAAGAGTTGAAAAGAATGAAGGCTAGTACAGTAAGAGAACTTGAGAACGAGTTTGAGGTAAGATGTTAGACGCAGGATACGAAACATTGAATGACTTTTATTATAAAACAATATGCTGACCGAATGATTTATCGTCTGTAAGAATTTAAATGATTTCAGCAATTTGGCTAACATTCACGAAGACATTCGGCCAAGCGATGTAAACGTCCTTGCGCGTCGTAAACGTCGTGATAAAATGGCTAATGACGAAGAAATGGATGAGGATGCAGTATGTAACGCTCTTTGGTCATGAGTTAGGCGTTCAATATTATTAGGATGCCGCTTTTAATTTAAGTTTTTTATCCTTAGGATGAATTGACCCAACAATCTCGCAGAAAGATGGAAAATAACAAGCGACATGAATTGTTCGATGGTCTTTTGACAGACCCAAATAAGATCAAAAAGCGAAGGACAAAATTCGAGACATTAAAGAGAAGAATGAAACGACAAAAGAGATAATTAAGCTTGGAGAAATAATCGATGTATTAGATGTAAAACATCCTTGCGTTAATCATGCCGTTTCCACACGATGTCGCTATTGTTTCACCTTCACATCTCTGACAGAATCCATACAAACTCCGACATATACTGCCTGTATTGTGAGACTAATAAACGAAAATTTAAACAGGAATTCACTCGGTGGTTCAATTAGCGAAACCCATTCCGTCAAGACCATATCAGCCAGATATATAGTTGGACCCCAAACAGACCAAACCCTTTTTCGCTGATCAGTTATTGTATGTGAATGCGGACTGGTATTATATAAATAGTATAACGTGGTGGAAAAAGTACATATCAGTTCCGTGATCATGGGATAGACCGGATGCCAATCCCACAGACCAAACCCGTATTTTCGGTTGTCGTTATTAAACGAGAACAGAAGGAGATCTGTTGAAGCGAAAGTTTAATATCCGAGATTAGGATATATCCGCGTCGGTGAGACGTTTGATTAAAGAATATTTCGAAACTCACCTTCTTTGTGTACCACACAATCTTCGAACCAGTGCGACAATACAGCTAAACTTACTATAATGGCGGCTTTATTTCCACCACGGTAGCCAGAGAAGTATCGATACCAGATGCCGCCAAGAATGCTCCATATTATTCCTGCAAGGAGTGAATGTGTATATGGCATATAGATCAAATCCAAGCTTGATGTTCTGGTAATTCCAGGTTGTAACCGTGCTGATTTAAAGAAGGGTAGATCAGAAATCATTGATTCAAGTAACGATGACTTTTCCTTACACGAAAATGTCAGTTCACATGAAAAACTAGTCTGCTTTCAGCTTACCTTCTTCAATGTTCAGGAACAGAAACACAACCCAAGCAATATCGACTAACTATTATCAAATATTTAATATGTTCTGGAAAGATCATTAAATTGTAGCAAGAAAACTACCTGAACTGCTATCAACAAGACCCATATTGGTATTTCGGGCGCCCAGACTTTAGCTACCCAAGCAAAAGAATAGTGACCCACAAACATCCTTTATTGTGTTCTTTCTTTATGTCAAAGGATGTATAAAGCCAAAGCCAGATAATCGAATTTGTTATAGTCTGGTGTTACTCTACAAATGTGGCTTGGGGTTTGGGAAATGCAACACTTTTTCGTTGCCGACATCTTGGGGGCATTTTTTGCAAATGACTATGTCGTCGGTTTCTTTAGCTTCAATCTTATTTCTAGCAAGAAATAGAGATATGCGTCTTATTGCTGCCTTTAACTTTAGCGGCGGTCCGTGTTGCACAATATGATTGTGCTCGCAGAGATTGATGTTTACATAACATCTATTATAGCAGACGAAAGAAATTTAATTAAAATTTTCATTCATAAGTTTCGATATTTCTCCATCGAAACGAGAATAACGGGGTTTTTAATAGCGTACTTTTGAGATAAATAAGAAACTATGCTAATAGATTGGGACCAAATTCACCGCACGGTTTACGCGTATTGTTTACATTCCTGCTAGAGACCGGAAATTGGAACAAAAACCATGGTATTTTGTATTCCATTTAATTTCACGACTTTGGTAGACCTGAGTGTGACTGCATGGAAAATGTAGTAATTTTTGTGCAAAAACGCGCGATAATTTAAAAACGAAGGATATAAAAACAAAATAACGAACATATGGTCTTTTAATTCTAGAGAAAACGGTACTAAATAGTTACAACATGACGTACCCGTGGACGATTCGTCGTTGCTTTACCTTGTTGAAGAAATTAAACGCTGTTTCGAACACGGTTAATGCGTGTCAGTGGGTTATGTTATTTTCATTACTGCTCACCCATCTTTAGAGAAAATATTTGAATGCCATTTTATAGTCTATTTCCTTATTCATGTCTTTGACAAGGTTCTCATATACTTTTGCGCTAATTTACACATTTTCTGGAGAAAATATTATTTATTATACTGCCAGTTTTTCTAATTCTCCATATCTCCGTCATTATTCCCCCTATCTCCTTCGTCACTATTCCCCCTATCTCCTTCATCATTATTCCCCCTATATCCTTCGTCATTATTCCCCCCTTCTCTCCAAGCATTAAGTGTGATCTATCCAATAAAGATTACAGCGTCAAGATGCTATTTAGTACGCGTTTACATACATAAAGTTCCACTGGCCACTGGAGGAGGAGGACGACTTACCCCACATCGCCTCTCGCGACAAATTTTCTCGACTCTCAGGATAGCGTCTCTGAATTGCATTTTTGGAAACAGGTCATGGATCCAGGCGCGATAAAAGTTCATCACGGTCTTCAAATCCGCATTCTTAGAATTAAACATATTAGGAAACGCGCCATATCCACAAAATATGTAAAATATAGTAAAAGACCTGCTCAACTAACTTCGTGTTCAATTCCTTGAAACTTCAATCTCTTGGCATCTTCGCGCAGTTTGGACAGGCCTTTCTCGGATAAAAGTCTTAATAGCAGCAGAAATAGGTATAAGCGCAAATAGCACAGGCGAATCTCGTTGTTTACGTGAGATACCGTAGACCACTGAATATAATCCACCACCCTCAATCTGGACCCGGTGAAGTTTTTATAATGTACCCGGGTATCATATATGATGGTAATACATATACAACACGACAGTATGAACATTTATTACCCAGGGTACTATATTCGGTGGTCTACGGTAATGATGAACCCGCATACAATGGTTGTTACCTATTTACATCTAGTTTCGCAATGCTTTTCCTCTTTCTAGTTGGCTGGGCTGCTTTTCCTATCGTCTGACGCGGTTTTTCTTGCTTAACGTTGACAGGGCCTCTATTTTCTGTATTCGATCCTCTTGATTCTACGGGCGCATCCCAATCTTCCGCTTCAAAGTTAAAATTCACTGGAGCCGGGAGCGGGGGAATATCATCATCATCCTCGTAGTGATCGAATTCTGGAAAAGCCAAGTCATCGTCTTCATCCATTTTTTTGCGGTTCAAAAATCTCGGGATGCGCGCATTATATTGCTTTTGTTGATTAGGGCACGTGTCGAGAATGTCCGTGTTCTCGAATATTATTGGTCGTCATATTGATCTGATGTCTACATGATCAGAAACTTTTTTCTCTAAACAGCATTCATTGAAATGCGATCGAACAAAAAAACAAAAACGACAACAGCGAGTAAAGCCTCGAAAGATAAAAATTTGTTGACATCAAAATCAAAAAAGAGCAGACGGAAAAAGCAGAAGAATGACGAGTCGGCAGATATTTCTTTACGCAAGGACGACATAATCGAACCGTCCAAAGATGAAACAGAATTAAGGCTGGAAGCTTTGGTATTCAGCGAACATGTACATACCGATGATTCCGACGCAAGCAATCATTCGGAAGGTGAAAAGGAGAGAGAAGTAACATTAGCCGAAACACAACCCGAGATTGAGGCAGAAACCACAGATCAACCTGTATGTTTATTTGAATCATGACTGCTTGTCTGTTTCTCATTGGTGAAGTATACTAACCAACTAGTTAATAGAGTTTTTTTATAGATACAATGCCAATGAATAACATTGAGGGTCCAAAAAATGACATCTTTGGTTCCGCTGAATCCAGTGCATTAAGACAAGAGAAACCCCCCAAGGAAACTTGGAACGATTCGGATGATGAAATCGTTACAGTCTCACTTAATAGCAAAGCCCGATTCCGTAAGCTGAAAATTGCTGAAGATGAAGATGTACTAACCGGTGATCAATACGAAAAACGTTTGAGACAACAGTAAGTCTCTTTCTCTCTTTTAATTCTATATTCGAGTCGAAAAAAAAATTTTTTTTTCTTTGACCAATTTTATCATTTTTTTTTTTAAAGATTCGAGCGTATATACCCAAAACCCGAGTGGGCAACTCTTCCATCCGAAGCAAAGAAACGCAAAACACGTGATGACTCGTCAGATTCTTCATCTGACGAGAATGATATAGGCGAAACTAGACATCTCGACACAAGAATAGACAAAGAAATCTCTCGTGAAATACGAGAGACTTATGATCATTTGCGAACGGAAAAACCGAAACTGTTGAACCAAGGTCAGATTGAAGTCACTAAAATGAAGGATGCGAATCAAATGGGCTATTCGCAGGTTGGGACTATTTATTGATCAACGGCATGCAGTATTGGGATCTTGAACTAAGCAATTTTATGGTTTTGTGTAATACAAACTAGAGCGTTGTGCAATCTCTTTGCTTTCATCCTGACGCAAGAGTATTAATGGTGGCTGGATTGGATAAAACATTACGGCTATTTCAAGTAAGTTAATATCAAAGGATTGACTTGCTTATGAACAAGATGACAAGAGCACGTTTGTTCGATCGATCATATGAAGCAGGTTTGTTACATCAAGCTTATTTCCTAACCTTTTTTCGCACGAAAAGATAGACGGCAAATCGAATCCCAAGATACAATCGATATTCCTCTCTGATCTTCCCATTCGCCAAGCACGCTTTAATTCTGCCGGTTCTCAGATTCTTCTTACTGGCCGTCGAAAATATTATTACTTGTACGATGTTGAATCGGGTCACATGAGTAAATCGCTTGGAATTCTTGGTCGTCCCGAGAAATCATTTGAGAAATTTGCCATTTCTCCAAATGACGATTTCATACTCTTTCAAGGACAGGATGGATATTTAATAGTAGTTGACTACAAGACAAAACGATGGATCAATAATTTCAAGATGAATGCGGGAGTGAGAGATATGAATTGGAGTAGTGATGGAAGGTATATATATTCATTAGGAAACAATGCCGAGGTTTGTCAATGGGATATCAGAATGAGAAAATGTGTACACAAGTGGGTTGACGATGGCGGGTTCAAGCCTACCAAGATTGCCGTGGCCAATGCAGATGAGTACTTTGCTATTGGGTAAGTTATCAAAGCCAATTTTGATTCAAATCGTTCAGACTTTTTCTCATTTAAAATTTATTCTAGTTCAAAATCCGGCGTTGTCAATGTATATGACAAAACATGCTTAACAAACTCGGCTCCCAAACCATGCAAGTCATTTATGAATTTGACAACAAACATATGTGATTTAAAATTCAATCACGACTCGCAAATTTTGGGAATGGCAAGTCACTCAAAGAAAAATCAATTCCGATTGGTAGGAGAGACGGACTAGTTTTTGTTTTTGCTAGACGCGCGCTGTTGACACGCTTTATTAAATAACTGACTTGTGTAAATCATGTTCATCGGCTATTATCAATAGGCTCATTTACGATCGCTAACAGTGTTTTCCAACTGGCCAACATCCGGAACACCGTTGGATTACGTTGAATGTTTCGACTTTTCACCAAACAGTGGATATGTTGCAATGGGTAATGCAAAAGGCAAGGTGTTACTATATAGGCTGATGCACTATCCTCGTTCCTAAAAGCCGATGAGATATGATTGCATGAGAGGTCAATTGCATTAGGCGACATATGCTTTATATGAATATACTGAAAAGACCAAATCTGTCAGTGTACGAATGCCATTCAAGGCAAGCCCCCCGATGTCTATCTAAAGACTAGATTGAGGCTATATGATTCCGGTCAGAAATCCTATGCCGGATAACGACAATGTCGCAATGCATATGCAATGATAAGGGCGTAATGTAGCAAACAGACAAGAATGTTGGCGACATTAACGGCAGAACCAAAACTGGTATAAAATGTGGCCATTGGCTCTCTGATCATTTGCGGCTAGAATAACAATCTTTATAAGAAAAAGTAAAATATAATTAGACTCTTTTGTTTACTTTATTTTATTGGCTCATGTCAACAATTAATTTAAGTTTATACTGTGTATTAATTAGACTGCGATCTTCGTACATCAATCAACAAAATCTCTTTTACTGTGTATTACTTGTAGAATACAAGAATGCAAGATTAATTTTTCAATATAGCTTAACGTTTCAGTGTTGAGTGGGACAACAGCATTGTTTTAAGAATTTGAGACGGTCTATCGTCTAGGCGATTGAAAAGTTTCCTTACAATAGTGAGCTCAAATAATGGACGATTATACCTTTGCCTGCTTGAATAATCCAACAGGAGACAGCCGATCAGTATATATAAAAAGACTTGCCTTTTTGCTTATTCTATTTCAAGACTTTAAAGTTAAGGACGTACAACGCAATTACTCCGATTGAATGAACGAGCCAATAGTCGACGAGGATTTATACTATATTTAGCAATTAATTAATTTATCGTTTCGCCCTATTACTATCGTTATCTTTCATTTTAGGTTATCAAACACCAAAAAAGCATTGGCCCTCAGAGCGTAATCGAATCCTCTTTGCTATATTAAGGGACATGGACGCAATAAGACATCACACTATTATTGTTATTATGTCATATATCAGACAGGCGGTCTCGAACGGACCCAGAAATGACATAATGATATTGATCCAATTTAATTATTAATTTACATCAGTATGTGTTAAACGGGTAAAATCAAAAAGGAAAAAAAAAAAAAAAAGAAAGGACATGATATGATGTTCATAACATAGAAATACATGCGATCATGAAACATTCAGTGGCACGATTTGCAAATGTTGTCTTGTCACTTATTAAGCTTTTAACCCCTACCGCTTTTAAGCGGACCTCATTGGTGTACCCAAAAAAATTTTTGATTGTTTGCATGCGCGTGCGCGCGCGCGCGCTAAGATTGTATATATTGTTTCGTAAAGCCAATGACTCGAAACGTGAATGAATTATTTATAAAATTAGGTATATTTTTAACTTGGCTGTTTATAAACATGTCTATGAAATTACAAATTATAATATTTGACACAATTAAATTTGTAGCCAAAAAAATAAAGACAAATCAAAAAATCATATTTCAATTGAAAGTTAACAAACGAATACAATTTCACCTACTGCTACATTCTATCCATTACACCAACTTCCCCTGCTCTTTTTGACGTTTTTTTTTTTTCCCTCTAGTAATTTTACTTTCATACTGTTTCGCCACTAACAGGAATAGGCTCGGCTGGACTATTATGAGCCGTCGTAGCTAAAGAGTTCGTATGTCTGTGAGTTCTATCTACGTCATTGGTCTTGACTATATCGAGACTCTGTCTACCGTATAACGTAGCAATATAACTTTCTGTCCTTATAAATTTGGGTACTGAATCCGAGGCCATCAGACGAAAGATGGTTTCTTCTATCTTGTTGAACAAATTGATGGTAACTACAGACTTGTCTGTTGTTGGAGCGGTTGCATCCGCGTCGAGTGAAACTATCGTCATTATTATCTGGTTGTAATGCTGTCTCAATGAATGATCAATGTTCAATTCACTAGCCGATCCAGGAGCGAGAAACGTATTATAAATCCTGAACGCATCAGCAATGAATCTCTGTTTCTCCATTGGATCTTGTATCTCGCCCACTTCATTGGCATCGCGTGAATATTTCTGTTTCAGCTGTTTTATCTCGAGCAAGAATAATAAATTCTCTTCGCATAGTTTAGACTTTAAAAAGTCCATAAACAGCATGCTTAGTGCCTGATCGTCCAAAATCTGTTGTAACTTTTTGTTATTAGACTCTTTATACTGAGGCAATGCACTGACCGAGTTTCTATGTTTCTTCACTGGTTTTGTGTTGATTTTCTCCTTGTCTAACAATGACTGAGCAGTGGCTCGATCAGCGACTTTATCCTTGTTGCTAATTGCCGACCGGATATTTCCATAACTCAACAACTCTTTCAGTTTATTTCTATTACTGTCGCTATCGCTGTGGATGTTTCCAATATCCAATATATCCCAGCCAGCCACTCGTTGGCCCTCTTCGCTGAGTATATAAAACGTCGTTTTAGAGTAGCGAAGTTCATTGTCTTTTCGTTCGGATTTCTTGTCGGGAGCTGGTTCAACAAGCTTATTACGTAAGAATTCATTAAATATTTTTACTGCTTCTTCACGTGTGACTACTGTTGTAAAGTCACATAGCCAGTCGCATGCACTTCCTCCTTGGAAAACAAATTGCAATGTTCGATTGGATTTTTCACGCAATTCAATACCTAGATTACGATCTCCTCGTTCATTGGATGCGGTCGATGACGTGTCTGACGAGTCATTGTCCTTATCTTTGTCCTTGTTGTCCTTGTCCTTGTCCTTGTCTTTCTCTTTCTCTTTGGTGACCAGATTTGGACGTTGTCCAGCAAATCGTCTAAATATGGGTACCAATGTTTGTTTATTTAAAACGAGTGAATCGGTTTCCAAAGATCTTTCGAGATAGAATAGTTTGATCGGGGCAGCTTGAGCAGCAAACAATTTCGTTAAATGATTGGAAGCTATGAGATTCTTGGTTATAAAGTGTTCGAGAACGTATAAACCCTTGGAAGTGAGCGCATATAGACACTTGTCTTTGAACGAGCGATTGCTCGAGTCTGATACATTCTCGAATAGCTTTGCATCCATGAATGTCTGACACACACTCTTTGCCATGTCTTTTGTCATACTGAAAGTGGTTGTTGTTGTTGTTGTCACTATTCGCAACGGGTCTCTTGCATCTTGGCTACGATGTGATTGGGTGAATTTTAATGAGCCAAGGTTGTTAATCGCTTCTTCCGTGGTAAAGCTATGTGGATAACTGCGAAACATGTGTCGGTGTGCGTCCATTGGTAGTGAGACTATTAACGCAGCAAATAGGTCATGAATGTCCTATATATAATTAATGCAAAAAGAAAAAGGTTGATTAGATAGAGAGTTTGTACTTGTGAGTTTAACATTCAGACTTGCACCTTTCCAAAACCAGGTTCAAGCTTTGACAAAGCTGGGCAAATGCGATCCCACAGACTACTCTCTTGCACAAATGCCAACATGTCTTTATAGGTCAAGCTATGCTGTCTATCCAACTATAGTTTAAGCATCATGATAACTCTTTGTTTTTGATCAAACCTTTGCAAAAGGACGCCCTGACCGCGTAGTCTTCATCATATGAGTGGAAGACTGGTGCTGCACCATAGGCTGTGGTTGCTGCTGGGTTTGTTGCTGGGGTTGTTGCGGCGTTTGTTGAAACGATGTCATGGCTATGTTATGTGTTGTGATATGATATGATGTCTGAGGGAAAAAAAGAAAAAAAGTCAAAGATGAAATTGAATAAAGCGAATTGTGGGTTCAGGAGACATAATATAGCAAAAGAGGTATCACGTAACACATTCCACGAGAATGATGCAGGCCAGAATTTCTTTGATTGTTTACCTTTGTGCGTTCCTTGTGATGCAGAAATAGTTTCTATGCAATTAACCCGCCGAATTGTAATTTATCACGGAGAAAGGAAATAGTGTATTCCAAGCGTCTATACAATTAAACTATTAATAGTACGAGTGTTATTGTTCATTCCTGAAGGTTATTTGTCGAATTGCGAGTCCTTGTATTTGAGGAAAGATAAAACGTTATTTATGACATCGGTGTGTCACTCGATTGTCATTGTTCCAGTTACAATATCCCTGAACAATTCTCTTCAACACGAAACACTCACTGCTTCAGCCCCCTTTTTCTATTTTCAAACCACTTGATTCACTCACGTTTTTGCAATTTGTTTCTCCGAAATTATATGCCAACTAGTAAAATAAAATACCATTTTGTTTATTTTTGTCCTTTAATATAATAAAATTTCACATTTACCATACTTGGAAAGATACGAGCACGCTGCGAGGACAAGGCACAGTAATGGCAGCGATCGGCGATGAATTTAGGGTATGCATTAGAGCGTGTTACAGATTACACATCAAAGATTACAGTGCAAAATGCTTTTTCGTTTCCCAGGGGAACGGCCGGTTCCGAAAGAATTTACATTTTCAAATTCGATTCTTCTTTGACGAAAAAAATCAAAAGGCATTCATCGCATTCATCGTTGCACAGCGAAATAAGCTTCACTACAAGATGTTTATGTGAGCAGTAGGCATGGCGATCAATATTCACATCGCTATTTGTGGGCAATAGGTTATTTTAAGCTCGTTGCCTTTTTTTCCCCCCGTTTTCTTCAATGCCATCAATTTCACAAGATAATTTGAGTAACATTTTCCATTAGATAAGCTACTTCAGCTGACTGCATCCTGCCGATGAAACCGCAACCAAAAGTCATTCCGGGGCTATTTGCAAAAGCCGGTAAACCATATTCGGGGATGAGCGATATATTGCATCAAATATGAGAGGATGGCCTGATTAATCGTTAGTCAGGCAATACATGTCTATGACATCATGCGATGGCGTCATTTAGAACAGGGAACTAAACCGCAGCAGATACAGTATCGTCTTTCTCTAGCTAACGTGTGTGAAGATCGATTGCTTTAGCTTCAGAAACGGACTATCACACACGGATCTATGTTTATTATTATACAAACCCCGTGTAACAAATGGATCATGATTCACAAAATCACAAATAACCCGATTTTAGAAACCTCATATTATTACTACTTTATCATTCGCGAAAACTACAATGATGTTTTGCTTTACTTTTATGACAACCAATGTTTTTGTCACATGGTAAAACCTTCTCGCTTGGGAAAGAGCATTGTTGTTATTGATGGAAAATCTTAAACTATTTGAAACAAGTCATTACTAATGGCTTGTCGGCGTATTCATGTCAGGGATCGAAGCATGCCCAGTAATGAATGTCAGAATTCACACGTCAATATCACCTTTCATAAGGAATGTCATTAGAAAGAAATTAGCGATCCACGTCGTCAACAATTGTCATTAGCGTCTTTATGGTCCATTTTATTAAATTGGCTAGCACTCGCGAGGGTCGCAAACAGGTTTGAACTTTAGCCCAAAATTTTATTTCCCATGCACGAATCGCGCATCCGCTGTTTCAGAGAATTTTTAGTAATGACACAAAAAACGATCAAGGCTCGGGACGTTGAAGCGGGCTTGGATGGGCAATATTAAATTTTACTCTTTAGACGCATGTATCTGCTAAAAGTTGGAAAAATGGACAGCTCGATAAAACGTAAAAAAGAGCTTATAATTAGGCCATGCATAAAATTTGTACTGTCAATTACGAGGTTTCATGTTGGTCGTGGCAAGATTATGATTGGCTGATGATATTACAATCCCGTGTAGATAAAGTGTTTGCGCATGGTAGATAATGTAATGATTTTTTGTTCCGACTTCTTTTTTGTAAAAAGCAATGCAAGCTATCATAATCTAATCAATTGCTAAACAACAGAGGAAAGCAAAAGGATAAAATACGAATCAACTTGTATTAGAGTCAAGATCTGCATAATCACATTCCAAACACATGTCCCTGTGCTTGTTTTAGTCATAGTTTTTATTTTCCGGGTTATCATTACCGTAATTTTTGACATGATCGCATCTTCTGGTATGTGTTGAAGTACCGGTATATGGCAATCACAATCAACTTCTAGTTATTTCTCTGGCTCCTTTTGGGAGACAAAACTGTCGTTCGTAGATCAGCAAATCCAAAAAGGTACATTTCTGGAATTCGAACCATGCGAGCTAAAAGAAATGTTCGTGTGACGAGATTTTGAACAGTTTTCCCCAAAACACGCGCGCACACACCCCCACGAAAGGGCCCACAACAATCAGAAAACACTTTTTTTTTCCCCATTCGAGTTAATTGGAAACTCGTGCAAAGCCATGTGCCTAAAAACAAGTTTATACGATGGTTAAATTTCTCATGATTCTGACCATATTGGAGAATGGTTGAAGTCACATTAATGCATGGTCAACCATGGGGTAGACACTCAAAGAGGACAAGATATTGCACGTTTATTTTAAGTTATCAAGATTTACGGTTTTCCCCCACTATCTGCAGCTCATAACGACACTACATTAAACAAATAAACATTTCGTTTAACCAACCGACAAAGCAAGCGGTCCAACAGCAGTCAATTTAATCCGGAGCAGCACAATGAATAAGGACGCGAAATAACATCATAACGGTACAACTATAGTGTGCCATAGTTGATTCTTTCTATGAAATGTTTCATAATACAGAACGTTAAAGTCACAAGTAGATAAATCGTTGTGGAACATTAATCCATTAGAACTTTACTTAATTATCTCATGTTCGAACGATTATTACGAGACTAAATAAATAAGCATACGATCGACTATATCAATAAAACGGGAAATAATGCAATATAATCGATTAAAAACTAATACTAATTGCTCAGTCTAATAATCTTTACGATTGAGAGAAAATGTAAACGTGTACAACCTGGAAACATTGTCAGCTAAATACACGTGAGCTGGTAAGACCTATAATCGGGCACTAATAGAATGGGAGATGTTAATGTTCAAACATCGCCTCCCCGATATACTGACAACACAAGATATACAAATTTTATCAAATGCTTGACATGGACTCTAGACATAATTTGTTCGTCAATGAGATACTGTTTGGGAGTTTTGTAATTCAATTTTCTCAATATCTAAACAATAAGCTCTATCCTAAAACAAGCAGAACCGCTCTTGTGCAGTGTCAATTTTTTATACAAGTTATATATTTTAATACGGATATTATTAATATGTGTTTGCTGTGGATAATGGTTTATTATTATTGTAACAATTTCAACATCTGGGCAAGAATCTGGACAGCGCAAACAAACATGCCAGTTACATTTTATTAGCAAGTAGAATGGTTTAGTAATTGCAATTCTTTTTAATCCAGGTTTTGTAAAGACGCATCATATATTAATATAGGCTGAATAATTACTTCAAACAAGCGACATATGCAGAGACCCTGTGCATATTATACGTGTTTGACATTAAAATCCTCACTGGCCAAGTCATAAATCTGCAAAATTGAGAACGAGTGACGTCTGAACAATTACAGAAACAAGTTTTACCGTTTTTGAATATTGCACATTCGTAGCTTAATAAATTTCACGTCAATTAATTAGTACAAGTTTAACAAAATATTTATTTCTGAGCAGCGACACTATGTGGTGTTTACTATCCCTTAATCTGTAAGCCAATTTTGACCCTTGATTTTGTAACGCATTTTGAGAATATTATTACTATTGTTACGGCAAGCTGATCTGATGAATCAGATAAGTTAGTCACATGATAAAATCTTCCTCCGCAGTTAAACAAACCCA